ACGTTTCGTTTCGCTCTTAAAGTTGCCGCGATTTACAAATTATTTAGTATTTCAGCTGTACCACATTGGTAATATATTAAATCATTAATTAAATGTAGCAATTGTTAAATGTAAAATTAGTAACTGCCACTCGCACCATCCTACAGCGCACATCGTATAGTATTAAGATAGTGGAACACTGTCCACTTTACCAAGCTGTAAAAGCATTGTAATTTTTAAGGATATTAGAATCTGTTCAGTATTTAAAAATTAATATTATGGTTGCTGAACAAAAAATTCAAAATATAGTCATTATGAATATAGTTCTTTTTATGAATTTAATATGGTTATGACTATGACTTGGACAATTCATGTACATATGAAACTTCGTATGCGGTGTAAAGTTTTTTTTTAATACTTTTAAGGCTGTTGGTACATACACAGTATGTGAATTGTCAAATCGACTGCACGTTACTAATGTGCCGTATTACAAGTTTCGCAGCCTTATAATAACTGAAACTACATGTTATATTGTATAATAAATATCACTTGAATAATATTTTTTTTTCTGAAGTTATTTCTCCACCTATTGCAATATTTTTCATTGCAGCTCCGCTCCTATTGGTCGTAGCGTAATGTTATATAGCTTAAAGCCTTCCTCGAGGAATGGACTATCCAACACAGAGCATTTTTAATTTGAACTAGTAGTTCCTGAGATTAGCGCGTACAAACAAACAAACAAACTCTTCAGCATTATAATATTAAATATTTTGCTAATTAACATATTATTGCCAACTTCACGTGCCCGTATTGGTCAAGTCAACAGCGCGCGTTTCCACTGCATCTTATCACATACTTCCGTCTCTTTACGAAATCAATCCCACAAATTAGAGACCTAACAAAGCGCGTTTCCACTGCACCTTATTAAATACTTCCGTCTCTTTTCACTCCCACAAATTAGAGCGAGAGGCAAGATGCGTATTCAAAATACGTAATCGTGTCCGTACACGCATGCTGTATTTGTTGCGTTTGATATACGAAACACAACCGAAATGTTGTGGTCCATTTCTTATTGAACGGTGGACAAATGTCTCTTCTATACAGGCAATGTTCTAGCCATCAGTGTTATTGAATCTTCTCAAAAAATCTGTCTATTTTTTAATCCCGGAGACTAAACTGACAGGTGTAAATGTCAAATGTTCGAATAATATCACCACCTATAGCGGTGTAGTGGTGTACTGTGATACCGGTTTGTTTAATCGGAAATTTTTATTTTAAAATAGTAGTTTTAAAGCTTTCATTCCGTGATATCGAATTTGTCTCCGAGATTAAAAAAAAAACAGAATACAAAAAGTATATATAAGTTATTTACTATGGCGCTCGAAGAATTCGATCCGATTTATTTAGATTAATATTTAATCATATTTATGACGGCCTCGGTGGTTTAGCGGTTTAGCACACCGCTTTACATCCGATGGTCGCGGGTTCGATTCCTCGTATTGTTCAAACATTCGTGAGTATAATCGTTTGTGTCTATTTACAAAAAAAAATCTAAGTATTTATATCAATTATCTAGTACCCATAACACAAGCTCTGCTTACCGTGGGACTAGATGGCGCCGTGTTAATTGTCCAGGGTTTATCACTGAATTATTAATTATTACAATTAATCACTATGCGAACGAATTAAATTAATATAAACAGCCAGTAATAATTTAAATATTAAATCAATATATATACAACTTAATATCACCAATTGTTCAGAGGAAACATGCACCATGTCTTGTTACAAATTGACATTGTTCACCATACTTTATAATGTTACAGAACAGCCTAAAACTAATTAAATTATTAAAAACAGTGCCACCACGAATCTATATTACAGTGAGACCTGGTCAATTGGCATCTCGAGGTACCAATTATTAAGGGTTTCCATACACTAAAGAAACTTATCCTAAATTTAGTAATGACATATTGTAATTTAAATAATGTAAATTAAATATTGTAATGGGTGAAAACTGTGATTGGTACAGTTTATGCTGTAAATAATATAAATGACGTAGTGGAGTAACTTGAAACAGTCATACTCGCTATAAAGTTCAAACTTGTGGCGGCGTGGTGGGCCGGGTCGATGTGCTCCCTCTAATATGGTTGAGTGCAATGATGGCTGGCTCATCCGTCATACTCGTGAACGGGTGCTGCTTGTGAGGACTGGTCTGTTCAGGTTGCGAACACTGATTAGATTTTTTTGATTTTTTTTATATAGCATATGCTGGTGGTCACTCTATTCTCCCAAATTTGAATTTAAATGAAATAGTATTATTGTAAATATGTACAACATTAAAAAAAATATATACGAGCTGAGTTTCTTGTCAGTTCTTCTCATCTCGAAATCATTCCGAACTGACGGTAGATTTGACATATCATAAGAGTCTGTAATAGACCTACATGAATAAAGATATTTTGAATTTGAATTTGAATTTTGAATCCAGTTTCCCAATTAAGCAGGTTCAAAATTATAATTGTCTCATTTACAGAGGGGGGCCTCTATAGAAATCGATGTACCGTCATTCCATTTTTAAATCAAATCAAATCAAATTTATTTGCACTAAACATAGGTTTACATCGGTTGTTATTGTAATATAATGTCCCAATATGTTTTGCCTCATTAGACATGCAAAATATATAAATATTATTTAATTATTAAAGATGAAAAAACTTGAAATAGTTTTGACAAACAAAGCATGTGTGAAAGACATTCAAACGTTTGTAAACAAATGTGTCAAAACCTGGTTATAAAGGGAGTATGACAGAGACAATATAACCAGATATGGTTAATTTGTCTCTATATGGTTATTTTGTATAATTAAGCTACAAAGTCCCAAGTATAGAGGTAAATATCGAAAAAATCTTAGAATTAAATTTAACCAGGTTAAAATCCCATTAACAGAGGTAATTCAATGAAACAGTAGCTGGACCTCATTGCAACTCTCAATAATAGGTTTCTCACTAGGTGGGAATGTGTCATGACCCCATTACTAGCAATGTACCATGTCAGGTTGACCTCCACACGGTTTCCTCTGGAAGCCATCGTGATAAATTCCTGGTGAATTTGCCACGATGGGCTAACTGACCTGACCCCATGATCATCTTATCATTCGCCACTGGTGCCCCGCCAGCGTAAACCGTTAGCGCAGGCGGGTGCACCACTCCATTATCAACCGTCCCACTTGACCAGGTTTCACTGTATAATCCTTTTTAATCAGCATTTTTTTTTTATATAAAATTAATGAAATTCACGACAACTTTATTTTGTCATAAAAAAACGTGTAATATTAATGATTTAAATACGCATTAAAGTAACGTATTCTTTATTAATTTTAAATAGCAACATATTGCAGTAAGTATAGCGATGTGATCTGTATAAATCTGAATGGACCCAATTATATTACAATGTTTCACAACTCCAACGATGCTATGGACCTGCGGGTTGGTTGTCTAACTCTGTAGAAATTGTTTCTTATAATAAACAGATTGAAATGTAATATATTATATGTATATTTATATCCGTCATACTCGTGAACGGGTGCTGGTTCTGGGGACTGACCTGTTCGGGTTACGAACACTGATTAGACTATTTGCTTTTGCAATAGCATAAGCTGGTGGTCACTCTATTCTTCCAAATTAGAATTTAAAAATGATACTATATTATTGTAAACATGTATAACATTTATTTTAAAAGAATACGAGCTGAGTTTTTTCAGTTCCTCTCATCTCGAAACTATTCCGGACTGACTGTAGATTTGACATATCATAAATCTATAATAGACCTACATGAATGAAGATATTTTAAATTCAATTGAATTTGAATTGTAATCTTATGTGATTATATAATTTATAATTATACTTATATATTGGATATTCATATATTATTTTTCTGTATTAACATATTTTATATCTCAATATTAGTTATTAATTTGCAAAGTACATCATAAAAGCTACGACCACTCTGTCAAGAGTCGACAACTAAAAATAGGAATGTTATTGCTATTTCTGAAAGCCTGCCAGTGGCTGCGTTTATATAAATTGTGTCAACAGATATATAGTATCGCCCTACTTTTCCTATAATAAATAAATAATTAATAATTGAATTTCAATCTGTTAAATTAAAGAAACCATTCAGCGTTACCACATCAGGCCCCGGTTGTTTCAATACACACATACTCAGTACTAGTGACAGTAGCTTCAATAGACTCTTGTACTGAAGTAATATTGCATATCCACTCATATCGCCTCTTTATCGACGAGCAAGGCTATATATTCTCATATCAACTGATATATATTCTCAATGGTAGTTCAAAGTGGTATGCAAATAGTCCAAATTATCCAAAATATACAATCAACTAAGAGTAAAATTGTAAGCGTATAAAAACGGCTCATTTTAATAGGATTTGATACATTGTCTAACATACAGAATAAGGACAGTTATTTTATATATACCGTTGTAAATGTAATGGTATTTATTCCTAAAGGAACAGACAATGGTATCATGTTTAGTTTGAGAAAATTGTACCGTAAAATCTTAGCTGTAAAGGATTTGGTAAAACTTTATAAAATAGCTGTATAAGTAGATTCACATCCTCATCTAGCGTGCGACCAAACATAGACAAATAAATGTATCTTTTTACTTAATTATGGTTTAAAAACTTTCATATACCATAAATGGTAACACAAGTGCGTTGTGTACAAAAAAAATACATAATTATGTAAAAAAAAAACTGGTAACCGATTTTAATCAAGCAACAAACTTTTTGAACGATCAATTTTCTTCGCTCTCATTTTGTAAGCTTTAGTACCCATAGACAACTTCGACCTTTGTCATAGACTCAAAAGTATCATCATAGACAATCATTTATCCACATTTTGTCGCACGCCTAACTCATGGGGTATCATATAGCAACATGATGTATATTAGATAATGTAATGACATCCTCACGGGAGACGAGTGGAGTGACGAGGTCTTCAGAACTGCAGGTCGGGGGCGCGGGGCTGGTGCGCGGGGTGTGCGGGGGGCGCGGGGCGCGCGGATGCGGACGGGTCCCTGTCGTCCGCGTCGGAGGCGTTGCGCGGCGATGTCGACCGGCCGAGCTGGGTGAGCTCCGGCAGCGCGGCCAGCTCGGCACGAGCCGCTGCCTCCGCCTCGCGCCGCCACCCCGCACCGCCCCGTGCCGCGTACGCAGACTCCTCGAACCCCGAGCGGAGTCCCAGTACGATGCTCAGCGCGGACGCGTCCTGCCCGTGGCAGCCGGAATACCGGTACTGCGGCTTCTTGTCGAACCGGCACCCGCCTGACTGCGCGCCTGTTGATACACGACATTACTTTATTTATTGGCAGTACATTCCAAATAATCAAATCAAAATAAAATTCATGTAGGTCTATTACAGACTCTTATGTCAAATGTCATAACAATTTGTTTAACTACCGCTCGTTCGGAAAGCTGTCTCATCACAAGAAGAACGAGCAAGAAACTTGTGTGTTGCTCTTTTAAATAATCCTTGTAAGTTTACATTTACAAGTCGAAACGTGTGAATACAAACTACCAACCAGCACTAATTGTTTTCGAACAATCATAACCTTGATTGTACTTTTAAAATGAAATAACTGTTAATTATGATATTTGTTCATTTACAGACAACAATACAACTTCCCACACATTCCTAACAACCATTTGTTATGTAAGTAAACTGTTACAAAAAACGTCATTGAAGACGAATAACTAGTTTTTCTATATTATTACCTATTTATTAAATTTATAAATAACTAGCTTTTGCCCGCGGCTTCGCTCGCGTTAATTAATAATTATCCTCTTAGGGGTGAAATTCATCAAAATCCTTTCTTAGGGGATGCCTACATCATAGTAGCTTTATGCATGCAAAGTCTCAGCCCGATTGGTTTAAAATTGACAAAGTTTCATCCCCTATTTTATCCCCTTGGGGGTAGAATTAATCAAAATCCTTTCTTAGCGGATGCCTGCGTCATAACATCTACCTGCATGCCACATTTCAGCCCGATTCGTCCAGTGGTTTAGGCTGTGCGTTGATAGATCACTATGTCAGTAAGTCACCTTTGAGTTATATATATTTAGATAATCATCGAACATTATTGACTTAATTGCATGTTGTCAGAATTAATACAAGAAATCTTAATAGGTATATAAAATTCATACAATTCTCACAGTTTTGTAAAAAAATTAAAACTCCTCCAAAACGGCTTGACCGATTCTTATGAAATTTTGTATCTATATTCAATAGGTCTGAGAATAGGGCGTACATTCTATTGTTAACCGTTAGGGTTAAATTTCATTTTACATTTTCATATTTGACTAAAAACCAAATTGTACCACTAAAATTGAGTAACCAAGAATAGCCCGCATAGTTAATTAACATTAGGCAGTTTAATTATCAATTCAAACATACAGTTTTATTTACCAATATCTTTTAAAAGTTTCGGTACAACCCGAACTGCACACACACACACACACACAGCGCCATCTAATGCCACATAAGGCAGAGCTTGTGTTATGGGTACCAGACAACTGACAGACATAATATACATAGAAAACACCTAGACCGGTACAAACAATCATACTAATAAATAAAAATATTTGTACCGTGTAGGGAATCGAACCCATGACCATCAGAAGTAAAGTTGAGTAGCACACATCACTAGGCCACAACCCGTACCAGTTACTAACCTATAGGCATGATGCAGTCGAGCGTGAGCGCGCACTGTATCCACGGTCGCATGACGTCACCGACTGCGGGCTTGTTGGCGACGATCAGCCGCGTCACATCCACCATCTGCACGAACAGGAAGTCGTCCACGTCCGCGTGGAAGTAGTGGAACATCCGAGGATGGGTGAGCGAGGTGACGGCGGCTCGCAGCGGCCACGCCAGCACGCCGCCACGGGACGCCGCCGCTCGCGACCACAGCGCGTCCAGCTCGGTGCCCACGTACCGCTGCCAGCTCTCGCAGAACACCACGCCGCCCACGCGGCTCAGCGCGTGCTGTGCCAACACCATCATGTTATTCCACCCATACATACTATGATACTGCACACTAATGTACTCGTGAACGGGACCTGCTTGTAGGGACTGATGTCGCGTTGTATTCACAAGTTTCGACTTGTAAAATGTTAACTTACAAGGATTGTTTAAAAGAGCAACACACAAGTTTCTTACTTATTCTTCTTGTGATGAGACAACTTTCCGAATAAGCGGTAGATTTAAAAAATGTTGACTATTCAAAAGTGCTTAAATTAAGTTTATTTGAATAAATGATTTTCTATTCTATTCTATTCATATTGGGAAGAAAGTGATTGTTAGAATGTAGAGTTTTTTTGAAATAGAACATCTATATTCCATTACTTTTTTTATAATAGAAATGTTCACCCGACAGCGTTAACGATTTACGCTGGCAGGGCACCAGTCCAGCATGATAAAATGAACAAGGGTGTGGGATAAACAAGAGGATGAACAACAATAGGGTGAGCATGATGTCAAGTAAGTTAGCCCACCGTGACAAATTCACTAGGACTTTCACTTTTTCCCAGGAGGTGCGGGTCAAACTAACTTTACATTACATTGGGGTTATCAGTCTACATTACTAACAGTCCCCTTTCCATCTAAAAACCCCATTGCTAAGGAGAAAAGGGGATTATTAGTAATTAGATTGACCTCCACGCGGTTCCCCCGGAAACCATCGTGATAAATTCCCGGTGAATTTGTCACATTGGGCTAACTGATCTGACATCATCCTCCACTGGTGGCCCGCAGAGTAAACCGTTAGCGCAGGCAGGTTTACCATTCCATTATCACCGACCTTAGGTCGACCTTCAGGCAGTTCTCCAGACCTCCACTTGGAAACCATCGTGGTGAGTTGCTAGTGAATTTGTCACGATGGGCTAACTGACCTGACCTCATGTTCATCTTATCATCCTCCACTGGTGTCCCGTCAGCGTAAACCATTAGCGCAAGTAAGTGCACTATTCCATTATCATCGTTTAAAGAAACACAGAGAATAGTGTTTTAAAAGTGTAAATGTAACTTGGGTCAAGTAATTGTCTTTGAAATACGGATCCCAGTAGTATCTGCAATGACATGCCGATAACTCAACCTATACCCTTATAGGGGGAAAGGGGGTTTGTTAGTAACGTGGACTGATGATCATATTGATAGTAATGTACCATGTCAGGTTCACCACCACGCGGTTCCCCTGGAAACCATCGCAATAAATTCGTAGTGAATTTACCACGATGGGCCAACTGACCTGACCTCATGTTCATCTTATCATCCTCCACTGGTGCCCCGCCAGCGCAAACCGTTAGCGCAAGCGCACCATTCCATTATCTTACATATAAAATTCTCGTGTCACAGTTTTCGTTCCTATACTCCTCCGAAACGGCTTGACCGATTCTCATGAAATTTTGTGAGCGTATTGAGTAGGTCTGAGAATCCAACATCTATTTTTCATCCCCCTAAATGTTAGGGGTAGTCCACCCCTAAATTTATTTTTTATTTTAAGACAAAACAACGTTTGCCGGGACAGCTAGTCATCTATAAAAAACCTTTAGCTGTGTATAAAATAATACAAGGTCTTTTGTATACTACCATAATAATTATGTTTACACTTTCCAGGTATTCTTATCAATGAGTCGTATTTGACCTTGTTAGCTGAACGAATGGTCCCGTTAATGTTTACAGTACGATAACAGCATGTGTGAGTAATAGTTAATTCATAGTTCTATAGACTTTGTAAACAAAATTTCAATTCACACACCATGTAGTTGACCACATTTAGTAGGTTCAATCCAATTTTTTTATAGTAATATCCGCCGCTTCCTTTCTGGTGACATCCTTTTAGGCTATTTATTTTTTATTGGTTCAATCAATTTTTTTTTTGATGATAATGAAATGGTTCACCCAGTTGCGCTAACGGTCTACGCTGATGGGGCACCAGTGAAGGATAATAAGATGAGCATAAGGTCAGATCAGTTAGCCCACCGTAACAAATTCACCAAGAATTTATCACGATGGTTTCCAAGGGGAACCGTATGGAGGTCAACTTGTCATGGTACATTGCTAGCAATGGGGGTTACTAGTACCCATTACTAACAACCACCCTTCCCCCCAGTAATTGCACTAATTTTTTTTTTATTAAATTTATTTGTTTCTCTACTGTTTTTATTATCACATTTTTTTTGTATTATAAATATATTATGTAGTACTTCAGCCGCGATTTGATACGGGCAAAGTTTTAATTGTATAATGTTGTTCCTCTGGAGGGGAGTAATTGAACTATTAGTTATTTAATTCAATGCATATATTATCCAATACAAATTTAATCTTCATTGCATTTAAAGGTCTGACCCTGAGGACCAGGGAAGAAGGAATGAAAGCAAGTCTGACTTAATAGTAATACACAATAAAAATATAGTTCATTTACTTGGTTAGACTTCTAAGAGATAGGCGCAGAAAGTGTGGAGTTCTAGATATTTTGTAGCTAAGAGTTAAATAAAATAAAAAAAATCGATACCTATTCTAAATTTTCACACAAATGTAAGAGGACAAAGTGAAGAATGAACTGAATGTTGCTAGAATGACATTTTATAATAATTATTATTTATTCAGCATAGCGTAACACAGACTGAAAATATATATCACCGCATGCCCACCAGCTACCACCAGTTACTCCGCAATGAAAGTAAATTTACATGTTAAGACCGGGTGATCACTGGTCAGTTTAATTGAAATAAATGTAGCAGTTATAATAAATGACGACCCCGGTGACCTAGCGGTCTAGCACACCGCTTTACGTCCGATAATCGCGAGTTCGATTACTCGCACGACACAAACATTTGTATTCATGAGTATGATTGTTTGTATCGGTCTGGGTATTTTCTATGTATGTATTTACGAATAAAAATTATCTATGTATTTGTATCAGTTGTCTAGTACCCATAACACAAGCTTTAGCTAGCTTAACTTGGGTCTAGATGGCGCTGTGTGAATTGTCCTGAGATTATTATTATAGGTAAATAATGTCTACCTCACATTATTGTACAAATAATATATGAAATTAACAATAAAAAAAATGCAGTTCCCTATGTGAGAAATAAGATTTCTCAATGCAGTCTTCACATCCCTGATTAAATTCCAAAGGGCCACATTTTACAGGAGAGCGCATCAAAATTTTCACTGTGATATTTTTACTTTTTTTACAAATCTATAAGTGGTATATATATGTGTCAGCTCGAGAATCATGGGTGTCTTTTTTTAATATAAAAATACCATTTTTGGAAAAAAATAGTTTCAGTTTTTTTTGCGTTGTGGCCCTTTTGCATTTAATCAGCGACATGTTAAAAACTAATATAGCACTATGAGCTGAAAGTCAGTCCACTCGGCTAGTACTGCAGGGTGTCACTGCAGCACTGAGCTATCAGTTCATTCACATGGCATTTGCTCACATTATATTTTTAAAATCTATACATAAAATTGGAGTGTCTATTTATAATATTGAAATAAACGTTTTTTACTACGTGCATATGAATATAAATATGGTACATACACCAAAATAACATTTTTTACATTTTTTTTGTCTGTCTGTCTGTTTGTTCCGGCTAATCTCTGAAACTGGCTGGACCGATTTTGACGAAACTTTTATTGGCAGGTAGTCAATGTAATAAAGAGTAACTTAGTCTACCTTTATTTTAGAAAAAATCTCTTATTAACTTTTTTGTTAAATTCCATGCAGACAAAGTCGCGGGTACAGCTAGTCATAAATATAAACGTATGTAGTTGTGATATACTCACTTGAATTATAAGTGGTCTAAATGCATGAATACTTTCATCACTGACATGCGATGGGAATGCTTCCAAATCAAAGTCAATGATGGCGCACTTTGATGAGTTGCAGTAATTTGATACCTAGAAATTTGGAATACTCTATTATGTATGTAAACTACAATGATTCATTGCCGATTAAGGTATATATGTATTTTTTTTATAGCACAGGGGACAAACGAGCTTGCGGCTCACCTGATGGCAAGTGAGTACCGCAGCCCATAAGTACTCGCAACACTAGAAGACTTACAAGTGCATTGTCTGCCTTTTAAATAAGTTTTTTTCTTGAAGGTTTCAATATTTATCGGTTTGGAAATACCAGTGCTGGAAGGTGATTCCACAATGTGGTTGTGCATGGCAAAAAGTTTCTAGTATAGTTACGTCATAAGACAACAATAAAAATCATCTGTTTTTTCATAGTTATTTATAAAATTTCGTGTTAAATATACATTATTAAAATTATTAACCAGGTCTTAATAGGAATAATTTTATGGCAAATAAAGTTATTTACCTCAGCAAATACCTTTATTTGCCATAAAATTATTGCTATTAAGACCTGGTTAATAATTTTAATAATGTTTTTTTTTCATATTATACTTAGAATGGTTAATAAATAATCTTGTTCAATGTTTTTATCAACAAATAATAGTAACTGAACCGATAAATACTTAGAATAAGTGTCTTTATATTAATATATTAGATTTTGTTTCATTATTTAAAAATAAAATATTACTTACTAATATTGACTGAAATATATATATTCCACAGCACCATTTAACAAACAAATAGACATACCTACAATTGCAGATCTTTGTATTGTGCTGGCATCAAAGCTGCTAGCATTTGAAAATGAAGCAGTGTTCTAACTGCCAAACAAACCAAAGGTATTACATAAGTTTTCAAAAAATAACATTTAATTGTTACAATAAATTTGAAACTATGATGTTAATGTGTATGAAAAATGTAAGGTCTACTATGTTCTGCTAAATTTATGCTGCTCATCTTGAATTTAATTGTGGATTCTTTACATGTACAGATAACTCACCATAGACAGTGAATATGGTTTTAATCCTAGGTTGTAGAGCAGTACGGTGTATGGGAGGCGTGCTGCGGCACGGACGAAGCTGACAGCCATCGCGTGGGAGTCTCCGCGTGCATATGTAACGAGCACTGGCAGTGTTGTGTTGTGCCAAACCTCCACATGCCCGTCCAGGCCCAGCACTCTAAAGTACCGCTCCTCCTGCACCAGCTGGCTCTCCTCCACATCTCGCAAGTTCTCCTGTGGTGATACAGACACCTGTTTTGTTGACATTGTAACACATTAATTACACATCAATGAGAACTCATTCCACAAGTGAGACACTGACAGGAAGTAATTAAAACATGTAAATCAGGTGTCTCAACAGAATTTAAATTACCTGAAAATCCTTTATTTGCTGATGGGTCTGCGTCACGATGCTCTGTATAGACTGAGGCGGTTGTGAATGAAATATAATTAGAAATACACTTATAGCAAACACTGATGTTGAGAACAGCAGGAAGCTTTTAGTTTTCATTATGAACGCGCATTATAAAGACCGCTGCACTAACATCGCTGTGTAGTTTAGCTAACTATTACACACAAATTATAAATCATTACGGTCTACCTACATCCTTTTCGAGTTGTGGACTTCGAAATAAAGGAAATCAATATCACTGACAGAAACACATATTTGAATATCAACTCATTCGAACATGTTTAATATATTTATTTCCAAGTAATACGCCAATATAAGGTATTTTCGTGTTTTAGAATATTATTTATTATAATATTGTTATTGTAATTTTATAATTTATGTCTCTATGTTTTTATCGATTTCAAATGTCAAGATTTGAAGAGAATGAAGAAGAGAGATGGCTGTATAAATCACAGATCAAAAATGCTAGCACCACAGACAGTATATTTTTATCTAAGTCTTAAATAACATAAAAATGACTTAAAATTTTATGTCGTTTGTTTATGCAATCCACTAATATCTTAAATGGAATCTCTTCCAACACATCAGTAACTCCATAAGTCAAATTCTGAGAAATTTATATATGTGTATTCTTTTTAATATTTTATTTAAAACATTTATTGTGTAAATGTGTTTAATGATTTCTTTTTAAAATCTGGTTTTTAGACTTAAAGGTGGTTTGTTAAATAGATTCTATTCAATTTTAATTTTTAGTTTAAATTTTATAGGAGGGGTGCCAACTCTTATAAAGGATAGTGTTATTCTATGTATATTGCTCTGTGTCTTTGATTGCCTGACATTAACAAACAATATGCCACCTTCACAATCGTTTTTTTCTCAACCCGAAGGTTTGGGCGATTGCTTTTGGTATTGTATTTATGCTTACATTTTATAAAAATCTTATTTATGCCAGTATAAAAAGAGTAACAGCGCCCTCTGAAATTCGATTCCTCATACGAGAATGATTTTAAAGACCAAATGTAATGATATAAAACGCTGAATTCTTGTTACTTTAAATATATAGTATTACAGTAATTGTTATACAGATATTTATCGGATAATATCTTTATTACTACTAAATCAGTTATTTCATAAGTAATTTAAGTATTCTTTGATTTTAATTAAATTAAAGACGAAATAATTAAATTAAAATTAAAGAATGATTAAACGAAATTAATAATTACATTTAATTTCATTTTTTCATCCTCTGTAGAATATAGTTTATTTTTCGTTAATCGTACCAATGTATGTCTAATAATGTATAATTAATCAAAAATAATTACAAATATGTTTTTCTATATAGCGCCATTTACACTGCAACGAATCTCCCACTACTTTGAATAGTCTCTAGCACAGATAAAATAATATTACATAGTCTCTAGATAATTAGGTACTTTGCGCTTTGGAATTTATCTGTTCTTATACAGATGGCGCTTTCGTCTGTTATTTTTATTACGGCACTTTCCCTCCCCCTGTTTCAATAAAGTCACTATTTTTTTAATATACATACTCAATAGTTTTAAGTTCAGTAAATTATCGTTATAATATTTGTACTTATTGTGGTTTTATAACTTAATATTTTTAATAACTATGTCTAACGTATCGAAAAGAAGAAGGGAAGGCTCAAGAGCTAAGATAAAGGTACGTAAAGAGGTCATACTGTTGGCATGAATCATATTACCATCATATTGAACATATAAAACATCTTCATCACCTGCAGACAGTTTTATCTTGTCTTCTGACAGACATTGATATATTTTGAATAACAATATTTAAAATTTATCAACTACTAAGTACATATGTAACTTTTTGGTTATAACCTATTACGTATCAACTTTCTATTTTGCATATTGTTTTCTAATGCGCTTTTCTCTACCAGTTTTGCGGGCGTGTGTGTGTGACGAGTGTTATGAATATTTACAGAGTGTAGGCGACCACAAAGAGTTCCTGAAGCGCATCACCAAGACATTGTACTATGGGCAGTTGCCATCATTGCCCTGCTTGAGTCTCCCAGTCACTGGTATTACTATATTTTCTCTTTACTAATTTTTAGGTCCTATAGATTGAGCCTAAATGTTTGTTGGTTAATTTATGAGTGTTTATAAAGTTAACAAAACTTTTTGTTTTGTAAATAATATTGTTGCCATGTTTTTTGAGGTTTGTCAAGGCTTCTCTCTATGGCCACTACTGTTTGTTATTTATTTAATGACATCAACTTTTGTGTTAAAATTGTTTATTCATATGCTGACTTCATTTTAATTTACTATAATATTATCTGTACATGATTATAATATATGGAGCTGCTTGTGTATAAGTATAATATGAATAAATAAGGGGGAAAGGAGATAATTGTGCAAGTGCACATTACTAACTAGTAATGTTGCTCTGCAGGACAGTTTTCTTTTTATGGATGATAATGGATAGCGCACCTGCCTGCGCTAACAGTCTACGTTAGTGGGACACCAGTGGAGGGTGATAAGATGAGCATGAGATCAAGTCAGTTAGCCCATCGTGACAAATTCACCAGTAATTTATCATGAGGGTTTCCAGGGGTACCTCGTGGAGGTCAACCTGACATGGTACATTGCTAGCAATTATGAGCACATTATGAGCGAGGCAGTTATTTGTACCCGTTCCGAGGATTGCCACTTATAAGTGGGACAGGTGCTAGAACCCATTCCGCACATTACGGAGAGGATATTAGTACCCGTTTAAAATAAGTAATTTTAAGTGACACAAGTGGAAAATAATGTTTTATCTATACATACAAATAAAATTAGAGTGTCTATTTGTAATATTGAAATAACCATTTTTTACTATGTGCATATGAATATAAGCACGATACATACACCAAAATAACATTTTTTACAATTTTTGTCTGTCTGTCTGCTCCTTAAACCCCCACATTCTTTGGTCCTTCGAGCCGGATGCCTAACAAGATGTGTGTAATGCAGAGATCTCGTGCGAGGTGTGGTCGGTGTCTCAGCGCGGGCGGTCCCTGCGACGACTACACGCGGACGCAGCCGCGGGCATCGCTCGCAGCGCCTGCGTGTCACCATGCGCGCTCGTGCTCGCTATACTCTACCTAGAACGCCTCAACAGTTGCAATCCAGAATTCATCACAAATGCTGCACCCGCTGAATTGTTTCTTGTCTCATTGGTAAGTTAATAATGAATATTGAACTTAATTAAACACCAGGATAATCAGTTTAAAAACAGGATGCAGTAATAAAGTTGTAATAATTAAATTTATATGCAGTGTGAATAGGTGAAATAAAATTATACTTGTCAAAGCTAGCAGTTAAAAGGCACGCAAATTTTGAAATTAAAAAACCTATATCCTTAAATATTATTCAGGACCTCTCAAGACACTACAAAGACTAGAATATATCAACCCTTGTGATTTAGCAGTTTAGCACACCAATTTACTTCAGTTGTAGGTTTGATTCCTTGCAAACATTTATATTAATTGATTGTTTGTATCGGTTTGGGTGTTTTGTATGTATTTAAAAAAAATTTAAGTATTTCTATTAGTTGTCTAATAACAAGTACAAGCTTAGCCTTTGGGCCTACATGACCTTTGACTTATACAAGGATATTTTTATAAATAACATGTAATTCTATACAGTTTAGTATAAAATATAATATTTACGATATAACAAATTAACATTAGAAATCATAATCACAATTTATACAGAAGAATGATACCTCAGTTCTTAGCATGAGAGGTGCACATAACAAATGGGCCAAAGGGGGATTGTTTAGTATTGTGGGGACTGGTCTGTTCGGGTTACGAATATTGATTAGACAATTCGCTTTTGCAATAGCATATGCTAGTGGTCACTCTATTCTCCCAAATTTGAATTTAAAAATGAACCTGTATTATTGACATGTACAACATTTATTTGAAAAGAATACGAGCTGAGTTTCTTGTCAGTTCTTCTCATCTTGAAATCATTCTGAACTGACGGTAGATTTGACATCATAAGACTGTAATAGATCTATGTGATTAAAGAAATGTTTAATTTTGATTTTTTTTTAGTATTGGAGACTACTAATGTTAGCAACATTAACAGATTTTTATTATCACAGATGGTTGGCAACAAATTCTTGCAAGATGACGGGGAAGATGATGAGGTGATATGTTCCGAGTGGGCGGCTTCTGGTGGCCTCGACCTTAAACACTTAAAAAAGTTGGAAGTGGATTTTCTCAATGCTATAGTAAGTGTACTATTCAATTTTTGCTTCATATACTCTAGTATCTGTGCACGAGGTTTCACCCGTATGAAATTTATAGGCTGTGTTATGTGTATTACTGTAAATTTTAATCAAAATCTGTTCAGTGAATTTTTATTTTTTTATATTACCATGTATCCACGCAGTTCCTCCTTGAAACCATTGTGATTATGTTTCTAGTGAAATTATTACAATGGGCTTACTTATTATCATTCTCCATTGCTGCGCCGCCAGCTTGTTGCCGCTACATTGCAGTATCATCAAATAAAACAAACTTCCTAGTATGTTGTAAAACTTTAAAACAGCACATAGAACGTTCAAAAACGCCTAAAATGTCCTATATGAATAAATTATATTTGAATATGAATTTAGGTGCCACAGAAGAAAACTAGAATGTAACTAAATACAAAATCGCCAGTTCAACTTGTTGATAAATCCCCAATAATAAGGAGTAGTGATAATACAACTATTCTATTGCTTATTTGCAGGACTGGAATGTGTTTGTGAGTGAAAAATCATTTGAAACGGGCTTGCTATGGCTGGAGAGACAAGTGGCTCTAAAGCAGGCCCTGTTGCGCGGCTTCTTCACGTACGGAGACTTGAGTGCGACCTGCGACATGGCGCCCGTCGGGGAGCTGCTGCGGGCGGCGGCCGGGGCCTGCCTCGCGCTCACCCTCACCTACATGGCCAGTCTCGCGACCTTGGTGACTTCCACGCTGGTGGTCTCGCACGCCTGGCTCCCCACGCTCCAGTACTTGGCCTCCAGGAACCTGGCGACGATCGCTCTAAATACAAACATTATAGCGCCCAATTTCAAACACGAACTTCTGAATCATATCGGAAATTCTACTGTAGACATATCAACAGTTGAAACTCTAATAGTTGAAGAAGTTATAGCAGCAAGCACTTTGAAATGCTGTGCCAAATGGACAAAGTACCAAGAGAAGGTCGAAGTCAAAAAGAATTGGTACGATGGCATGATTATAAGCGATTGGAAAACGTTTGAATCGTGGTGGTCTAAGACATCCGTACTGAACTGGTTGTATCAGAGCTCGCTTATTAATCCCTTGCAGCGATGGCTAGAGAGAATAAATGAATATGCTGACATGTTTAAACAAGAAGTCTTCAACGTGGAACCTTCGGCACAAATAGATCACTGTAACAATTACGTCCAGCACAATTCTCGGCAGCGCTGCGTCCGGCAGTGGCTGAATCTTAGCAAGCTGAGTTCGCTGGTGGCTTCCGTCTCTGATCGATAGTGGACTACAGATAATATTTTATGATATTAAACAGATAACTTATTTATGTATAAATGTGATGTTAATGGGTTGTTACACTATCATACATTAGGATCATAACTAGATCAAAAATGCGTTAACTTGAGTATACGTTCTAATGAGATCACGCTTTCGTCGCGTTCTCGACTTTATATTGTCTAATTCTTTATATAGTAAAAAACATGGTAGGTCCTTTTTGTAAGAGCCTATAATTAGATATATTAGTTACTTATTTATTTAACTTATGATAAATTTATTATCAAAAGTGACGATAAGTTGTTGTGTAAAATTGTCGTAAGCTGTTTGTTGCATTACGCGACTAAAATAATGTATTGTTAAATAACTTAAATGTTGTATTAAATGAACAAGTAGTGAAAATTAATCGTAGAGGCATTAAATTATTTATTTTACGGTTAAATGTAACTAGTTAACTACATTGTTTTGTCTGAGAAACTAGACAACATTAAATTATATGATCCTATAGATATAATTATGTAAAAACCCAGAGTAAAAGAGCCTTGTGTACGGTATGAGGTGTAGGTGACTTGGAAGTTGCGCTCTCAAGTACAAGACGGAACAAATTGTTCATGCTATTTCTAACTTCAATTTGATTTAGTGATGCAATAGTATCGTGTATTAACATATAGAAATTATTCGAGATGGAACTTATTAAATTACTAATGATAATCCCAATGACACTTCTTGACAGACCCTTTATGAGGTAGACAGACTATAATCAATAATTTTATTTTTTTTATACGTTTGAGTTCTTAGTCTCAAATCCATTAAGGAGTAGATGGGTTATGTATTAGAGTAAGTAGTCCTTCTACTTCAAACATTACATTTTTATACTTCACTAGCTACTCGCCACGGCTTCGTCCGGGTGTACATGTATTGTACATATAAACCTTCATCCTGAATCACTCTATCTATTTAAAACAAACCCCTTCAAAATCCGTTGCGTAGTTTTAAAGATTTAAGCATATATAGGAACTGACAGACAGCGACAGTGACTTTGTTTTACAGTATGTAATGATGCTCTATTTTAAAATAAACGTTTCCAAAGTTTTAAAGATTTAAGCATACATAGGGACGTACAGACAGTGACAGCGACTTTGTTTTATACTATGTAATGTAATAATATTTAAATTATAATAGTTCTCCTAAATTAAGGATGATGATGGTAGAAACTTACATTGGTACTGGCATAATTTTAGATACTCAGGTTATATACTATATTTATATTAGCCATTACCATCAGGTTACTTTCATCGACTCTCGTCACTGCAGCCTCATCTCATACCGAACCAGTGACATACAACTTTGTACGAATTTATGAAATAAAAGATTTATATTCTCTTGACTCGACGTAATGCGCTCAAAATAATATAAAGCAATATGAATAAAGTGATATTATCACGAAATTGTATATTTATTAAACCTAACCTGAATATGCAGTTCACTACTGCGCTATAAGCCCGGTCTCCACCGTCGCGGGGCAGCCTGGATGCGTGGCTTGTTCTGACGAGGAAACGTGTACCTGTGTGCACTTTTGGCAGAAAAATTATATAAAAAATAAAAAACAATTTTATATACTTTAGCTGCTATAAGTCATATTATGAACTTGTGGTCGCACAATGGTCTAAATTCGACCATAATTAAATTCATCATCAGTAAGACTACAGACTAACATTCAGTAAGCCTCGGTGGTCTAGTGGTTCAGCACACCGCTTTACTATCCGATGGTCGTGGGTTCTATTCCTCGCACGGTACAAACATTTGTATTCATGAGTATGATTGTATCGGTCTGGGTGTTTTCTATGTATAATGTGTTTATTAAAAAAAAATGTATCCATATTTATATCAGTTGTTTAGTACCCATAACACAAGTTCAGCTTAGCTTGGGACTAGATATCACTGTGTGAATTGTCCTTAAAAAAAATAGTATAAATGTATTCTAAATTTGACCACAGACTAACAATAAACAAAATATATATACGTATATGTGCAAATACATGGTAAAGTATTTTCTATTGATTTAATGTATTTTTATTGAATAATAAAAAAAAAATATTGCATCTGCACTGTATGAAGTATAAGTGTGCGAAATTTCATGCACAAATTTCCAAACACGTCCGCACAAATTTCGTAAACTGTTCACGTATTAACATATATGTAGATAAAACAGTTATTCTGTTTACTTCTAAGCTATGTTTACATTATCATTTAGAGAATTTATCCCATAGGTTTATACGCATGTAATTCTACAAATTCCAGCAAGGAATCCGCATGTGTTATATAAAAAAGAAAACATAATTCAGTTAGTACATTTTTATTAACTTTATTATGTAAATATATAAAAATATATTGTATGCTGTTTATATAAAACCTTGAGCAATAACTTAATTATATGACACGTTACATCAACTTACAAACGACTCCAAAAAAGTAGGAGAATTTCAATTCGGTTGTTTTTTACGTTATATATAGACCCCTCCGATCCAGTTCAAACGGAGATCGAAATTACGACGGCCTGATTCGAGGTTCGAACCCCTAGAGGTGCCCTCAGATTAAAGTAGTGTCCCTCAGTCGGGAGTTTACCTTCAACCGCTCCATAAGCTCTTCCGCGGGATTGGAGTGTCATCTGCACTGGACCCCTATCGTCCGGTGAAGCTGTAAAGGCCATCTGCGGCCAACAGCATTAGAGTAGTCCGATAAAAATACTTATACGTAATAGACAATTATTTTAAACATCTTAAGTTCCTTGTATGATTTCCAACTGATATCCAAGTCAACAAGAGTTGGGGAATTCATACGTTTGTGAGTATATCACAAATATAAAAAAGAGGGTAAATAATAATTCTTACGATTAAGATTTATATTATTATGTTTATTTCCGCTACCATTAGCATGTGTGAGACCACAAATATTCAGTGCGGAAACCTGACCACCGCTACTGGAAGTGTTACGACCTTCTCTATTGGTGATCAAATTCCGACCGTTATTTAACACGTATTATATAGCGACTAGCTTTTGCCCGCGGCTTCGCTCGCGTTAATTTCTCCCCTTAGGGGTGGAATTTACCAAAATCCTTTCTTAGGGGATGTCTGCGTCATAGTAGCTTTATGCATGCAAAGTGACAGTTCGATCGGTTTAAAATTGATAAAGTTTCATACAAACTTTCATCCCCTATTTTATGCCCTTGGGGGTAGAATTAATCAAAATCCTTTCTTAGCGGATGCCTACGTCATAACATCTACCTGCATGCCAAATTTCAGCCCGACCCGTCCAGTGGTTTGAGCTGTGCGTTGATAGATCACTATGTCTGTCACCTTTGAGTTATATTTCGTGTTTCGAACGAGGCATCATCAGACATTGAAAAGGGAGACTGCGCCTACTCAGAACACAATTTTTTAGTGCGGAATCCAGACCAGCATTACGACGTTTCCTATCAAATTGCGACAAACATTAAATGCGATGTAGGAAAACAATAGGTAGTGGAATTAAACAAAATAATGTAAATCCATTAAGTATTGAAATAACACGTAATTCGTTAAAATATATTACAATGATTCTAGTCTAGTGAGATTGTAAACTGTCGATAAACTGTACATTTTATAAGTATGTGTATATATGCTACTTACAATATTACATATTAATTTTTGTTAGTTTATATCTATAAAAAACACAGTTCACAATTTTGCACTGACATATATCGCTGATGAAACTCCAAAGGGCCACATGAGTTGACGCAAACGGTAAATTTTACAAGACAGCAGGGGCGCGCCGACCCCATACAGCGTGTGTGCGAAACCTATTCTAAAAGTAGGTGTTGCTATTTGCCATAGTTTATGCTATTGAGTTTAATTAATTAAAAATAGAAAACAATAATTCAATAAATATCTTTAATAGATGGTATAAAGTCTGATATAGTTTTTGCTACTTTTGTTGGCTTCAACTAAAAAAAACAGGATAGGGGCGGGCGGCGTCCCTATTCCTTAGCGCCTGTGTGCGGCACTTCGCACATAGGGGCGGTGCGGCCCTGTAAGAAAACTCATCAAAATTTTCAGTGATATTTTTACTTTTTTTACAAATCTATAAGTGGTATATCTATGTGTCAGCTCTAGAATCATGGGTGTCTTTTTTTAATATAAAAATAACGATTTAGATACCGTTTTTGGAAAAAAATCGTTTCAGTTTATTTGCGTTGTGGCCCTTTGGCATTTTATCAGCGATATGTGTATATCGCATCTTCAACACACTCGCTCGTAAAGTAGATTTAATTTCACCGGTTTTCGATATATAAACCAGCTTATAAAATACGTGTTCGTTACAAACGCAAATAATGAAGTTATATTCCATAATCACATTATTTGCTACTTTTTTTTTATCAAATTTCGAAGTAATCTTTGCATTATTCCAGCCATTAGGTAGAGCACTTTGTTTAGGCTGTATATGGTTATTTCGTTGCCATATAATTATAAAAAGAAAATATGTATTCTTGAATAAAATATGGTGGGAAATACACAGAAATTATATTGTTAAAAAAAGTATTTTTATTCCATCAACCTCGGACTTATTCATTGGTCTAAACGAGCCGGATTGGAACACAAACAAATTGTTCAGGTTTTCAGATAGTTTTTTGGAAATATTAACTATCACTTGCTACGTTACACTAGGCAGCGGGACGTTGTCTAGAACATTCCATTAGCAAAGCGTCAAGGCTGGACGTTAAAGCAGTGGAGGAACCGGGTTGTAACTCGCGGAGGAGTAACGTACGAGCGGATCAAGGTCGAGGTTGAAGGCAACCACGGAACCAAGCATGATGTGCATGGAAAAACGGTGAAATTGGAGTCAAATAATATTAAAGTGTTGTGGTGTATGCGGTGCGCAATTTGTGAGTACATTACATTTCCTTATATTGAAATAAAACGGATAGTAAATTTTGGAGAAGAAAGAATTTAGAAAATCGTCATATTTTACACACAATAGAAGATTAAAAACATATTTGTTAAAAAATATTAATTAGTTGCGGATTTTTAATTTTGTAGTATTATAATTACCTATGTATTGTGGACATTTTAATTTTGTTGGATTATAAATTTTGTGGCGTCACTTATGTAGTTCGAAATTCAAAGAACGCGCCATTCGAATTTTAATATTTGTACATTTTATTAGAAATTTATTATTAGTTCATTTTATTTAATTCCTATGAGTACAAAAATGGATTCAATTATTAAATGTCAATACGATTTACATTTGAGAATAAATAAAAATAAAGATAAATTTAAACAGAGTTCTAACGATAGGCTTACTAAGGAGTATATTGAAACGCGGCTTGAAAGTGTTGAGTCTTTATGGCTTGAATTCTTTTCTGGTCACAAGGAACTCATACGTTGTAGTGACTCAGAGAAATTAAATAGGTCAAACTATGTAACTGACGAGATTTATTATAATACGGAAGAATTGTATTTAGAGTATAAGAGTGATTTAAAATTAATTTTATGTAAATTTGAAACGAATGATGAAACAAATGTAATCAATTCTAGTGCTAAGTCATATCAAATACGTCTTCCTCAGATCAACATTCCTATTTTCTCAGGGAATTACTTGGAATGGACTAGTTTTAGGGACTTATTTCTGTCACTAGTGCATTTTAACAACAATTTAAACAATGTAGAAAAGTTGCATTACTTGAAGGGATATTTGTCTGGCGAAGCCGAGCAATTATTGCGACATATACCAATTGCAGGCGTTAATTATAGTAGATGTTGGTCACTTTTGGAGGAACGCTACAATAATAAAAAATATTTATCACATCTTATTCTTAAAAGATTAATTAGTCAGAGAAATTGTTCTACGGAGTCTGCTTCTGGAATAAGAGATTTAATAGATACAACAACAGAGTGTTTAGAGGCATTATTAAGTTTAGGAATTGATGTTACAAATTGGGACGTATTAGTTATTCACATTATATCATTAAAATTAGATCCGGAAACAAAAAGGCAGTGGGAATTTAATATTGCGAACAGTATTAATTCAGACGGTTTACCAACATTTTGTCAATTTAAGGAATTCCTTACTAGTCGATTTAGAGCACTAGAGTTTCTAGAATGTAATGTCAGTAAATCAATCAAATGTCATACGGTTAATGTTAATACAACTGATGATCGGAAGAGTATACCATTTAGTTGTCAATATTGTTGCGGTTCTCATAAAATAGGTTTTTGTAAAAAGTTTGCAGCGACCGATACCGATGCTAGACGGGATTTTGTTCACAAAAATGGTATATGCTTTATTTGTCTGGGTTTTAATCATATTGCTAAATACTGTAAAAACACCGCCAGATGTCGCATATGCAAGGGACGACATCATTCTCTATTACATCCACGGATATATAATAATAAGTCAGGATCAATTCAACAATTTTGTAAAACAGAGTCAATTAAAAAAGAAACATCGGCAGGTTTAAAATCGGAATTACAAGGGGAACAACAATCTACACCTGTTGTGTCTTATTTTACGACAGGGGGATCGGATAAAACTACATTATTAGCCACAGCTCTGGTAAAGGCTGAGTCGGAAAATGGGAAACATCAGGTCATAAGAGCCTTATTAGATCAAGGTTCAGAGGCATGTTTCATAACGGAGGCTACGGTTCAGCTCCTTGGTTTAAAAACAGTTCCGACGAATAGTATTATTCACGGAGTCGGTGGAGAAGAGAGTACGAAGTCAAAATCGGTTGTTAATATAAAGATACAGTCCATTATCGATTCTACTTTTGAGACAGAGATTACGGCTTATGTTTTGAAATCTGTAACGAATATCCTGCCCGTAACTCGAGTAACTCCTATTGAATGGGATAATATAGCGATTTCAGACTTAGCAGATCCACAATATCACATACCTAGCACAGTTGATATCTTGTTGGGTGCTAATGTTTACAGTACAGTAATAAATGAAGGGTTAAAGAAAAGTAAACAAGGTTGTTTAGTAGCTCAATCAACTGTATTTGGTTGGATAATATCTGGTGTTACAAATACATATAAGTCATTATCTTCACATAGTACGCCAGTGCATTGTTATGTCCATCCAGATGTCAGGAATAATTTATCTGCAAAGGAATATACATTATTAGAATTAAAGGTACATAAAAACAAAAAGTTTAAACAAAAGTATAATGAAGTTATGTATGAGAATATGTACACTAAATACAGAAAACGTCGTATAAAGAGAGACCACTAAAGTAGAGAAAAATATATGTAAAAGAGTATACTTACCTTGTATGTAGTCATGTGTAGATCCATGCTAAAAAAAAAAAAAAAATTAGAAAGATCAACTAGAAATAATTAGCACCATATTAAAAATTATTAAGCAGTTCAGAATAATTAATTAATTAAAAGCAATAATATAATTAAGGAATAAGAAAGGTTTTATGTTTAAAGGGTTAGCATTAAATATCATATGTGTAAAAATTAAATATAATATAGTTTACTTACCGGGAATATATTTTGATGCAGTTCTTTTCTGAGTATTCATATATAAAAATGATTTAATATAATAGTACGAAGCTTCTGAAAGCATTGCTCACTGAGAATGATATCTGATACACATCTGTATATATGACAAAACATGAACAAAGATCTGCACAAATTATAGAAATTTATATTTAATCTAAATATTAGTTCGTTCGGATCTGCGTGGATTCTAATAATCTGGACAAAATCTAAGTTGTGCATTCTTCCGGTCACAGACAAATAGGTATATATATAAGGTTTTAATTTCATATTTGTTGTTAATAAAATTATACAACTGTTTTAAGTACATAGTTCAAATGTAATATAATGTATGTTCAAGGTAAGCTAATGAAATTCTTTGGGTTCTGATCAATATATTATATTTGTTGTATAAAAAATTATCTGTTTGTCATTAGAGTATGGACACATCAGTGTGTCCATGGTGGGCGGTATGTTTAGGCTGTATATGGTTATTTCGTTGCCATATAATTATAAAAAGAAAATATGTATTCTTGAATAAAATATGGTGGGAAATACACAGAAATTATATTGTTAAAAAAAGTATTTTTCTTCCATCAACCTCGGACTTATTCACACTTATTAAAAAAAAAAAAGTAAAACGGCGGGAAAGCAAAAGATGCATTAAAGTCTTTTGGATGAGTTTATTTAAAAGAGCAACACACAAGTTTCTTGCTCATTCTTCTAGTGATGAGTCTGCAATCCGAATGAGCGGTAGAATAAAAAAAAATGTGTTTATTCAAAAGTGCTTATATTAAGTTTTTTTGAATAAACATTATTTATATTTGTAACATCTAGTATGTTGAAAAACATCATACGATATACGTGCGTATTTAACATACTCGGCTTTATTACGTACTCGCCTTCACTCTGACTGAAATTACGCCTCGTGTGTTATAACTATTATAACGCACTTATATTGAAATATACTATTCTCGACAACACAAGATAAATGTAAATAATACTGTCTTTACAAATGAACCACTTATTGCTTGTCTCGTCCAATTAATTTACAACAATTTTTAAGCTATTTACATAAAGTTCTATAAAAGGAATGCTTATAAAATACTTATAGCTTGAATATAAATCTCTTAAATTATACAAAAAAATATAATCTACAAAATGGTGGATCGGTAAATACTTAACTTATTCACTTGTATTTACGTGAAATATCTAACAGTCCCATATTAACTATTAAAGTGTGTTTGGCAAAACCTTTGGCGTAGAAAGTTGGCGTGTCTTGTTCAGTTTCAAATTAGAAAATAGCTTTTTCAGAATAGGTATACACACTTTAATAGTTAATATGGGACTGTTAGATATTGGTTTCAGGAATATCTACTATAAAAAAGTTAAGACAAAAAATGTAATCATAGAGATCATCATTGCCTTGCCTTTATCCCATTATTTGTGGTCGGCGCAGAATGTCATTCTCTTCCACTGCTCTGTATCGGTCGTCATATCTAAACATACTCTTCTATTATTCATATCATCTTTCACACAATTCATCCATCTTTTCTTAGGGCGTCCCCTCCCTTTACATCCATCCCCATTCATATAATGTAATCATAGAGATGTTAGAAAAAATACATTATAAAAAAAATTGAGACTATAACATACCTACTGCGTATAAGATTGAATGCAGTACAAATGTGGTATATTTACATACCTATATATTTTTATTATGTTCTTAAATGTGCTATATCGCATACTGTTTTGGCTAACAAACCAATCCAGTCGTACTATCCCCTGGGACCTTTTTTCTAGGCATGATAACGGAATGGTACAGCACTGGTATTAGCACATCGTGACAAATTGACCAGAAATTTATCACGATGGATGGTAATCTGACATGGTACATTACTAACACATTACTAACATTGGAACTTGACTGTATGTATTTACAGCGGCAGTTGCAAACCGTACAACAATTCTTATCAGCAACTGTTAACCTTCATGAATTAATGCAAATTTGCCAAATAAGATCTGTTGACGAATCCGTTACGCAAAAGCTTCTACACATCGTACGTGGTTGTAGCCCACTCAAGCATAAACGAAATATGTCTTGGAAAGTACACACTGCATCCTGAGTAGATAAAAACCATAGTTTCTAACAATATCCCTAAATTCTCGTCCCTGACGGGTCTAGGCAGCGAACTCTAAGAAAAAGAGTGAATATAATTGATCTATACAGTGCTAGAGTAATAGCCCATAAAGGAGGAAAGGAGATTCTTATCAAAGTGGAATCTTTGGTAGGAATGTACTACGTCAGGTTGACCTCCATGCTGACAGTACATTGCTGGCAAAGATATCAAGCCTTCCTCGTGGAAACCTAACTGACTTGACCTCATGCTCATCTTATCCTCCTCCACTGGTACCCCGCCAGCGTAAACCGTCAGCGTAATGAGTGCACCATTATTATCCATAAAAAATACACAATGAACCCTGGACATATTAAAGTGAATCCTCGGATCTAACTTCGTAACATTGTTATTAACAATTCGTTTATTGAAAGTGGTTAAAAGCACCATTTTGATAGTTTTATTTTATATATTAATAATGTACTAAAGTACAATATACATGTTTTGACGTTCTGTTCACAAAAAGAGGGGGGGTCTCGTTTCAAATTTAACTAACTGTAACAAGAACGGGGGGGGGGGAGACAGATAGTATCCATAATCACAAAATTACTTTATGGCCGTGACTTCATTCGTCTATGGCCCTTAATACACATATTGCACGTCACTGCGTCCGGTCCCTGTGGTTGAGTCCGGGGTGCAGGTAGAGCCGCTTGTTGAAGCCCCACTTGTCCACCGAAGAGGTCTGGTACTTGTGCATTTGGTCCATTCGGATGTCCACCAACGTGAACAGCTCCTCCACGTGGTGGTCAGCCGCCTTCTCCGCGAATACGTCGCACAGCGTCTGGATGTACCACGAGCCCTTATCCGGGTTCCGCCGGGACACGTAACCTGTTCAAATCATTATAATAATTAATAAATATTTAATAGCCATTAATACAGATTAATTATTTATATAAATCTGCGTGATCGAATCAGAAATGAGGAGATCCGCAGAAGAACCAGAGTGACCGACATAGCCCGAAGAATTGCGACTCTGAAGTGGCAATGGGCACGGCACATAGCTCGTAGGACAGATGGCCGTTGGGGCAGTAAAGTCCTCAAGTGGCGACGACGGACCGGAAGACGCAGCGTGGGAAGGCCTCCAGCAAGGTGGACCGACGATCTGGTCAAGGAAGGCATTGGATGCGAGCAGCGCAGGACCGATCGTCGTGGAGATCGGGGGGAGGCCTATGTCCAGCAGTGGACGTGTTCCGGGCTGCGATGATGATGATGATGATGATGATGATTATATAAATAATTATCAATATTGATGATGTATGTATTCTTCAGTATACATTCTACCTCTATTCAGAGACTTTACGCCTCCCCTCACAAGGGGAGATAGTAATATTTTCAACTGAAATTTTACCTTAAATATTTCATTCCGCTTTACTCGACTTACTCTAATATTACAGTAAATACGAGCTGATTTTCGTGTCGCCTCAGTTCTTCTCGTCTCGAAATCATTCCGAACTGACGGCACATTTGACATATCATAAGAGTCTGTACTAAACCTACATGAATAAAGACATTTTGAATTTGAAAATTTAGAATTGAATTTATTCTATTATGAAAATACATTATAAGTTAATGTCTTGCTTTTATATATTTAAAAATTTATTTATTTGCTTTGTTATATTTAAAAAATGTATAGTGTCTTGGACTGTTAATACTAATGAGCTTAAGGTAGGTCCATTATTTGGTTTAAATCGAGTTTTTAGTTACGTGTAATTCTAAAATAAGCTTATTTAAAGTAAATCTGACTAGTGTGAAACTTTGATATTATCCTACAAACTACGTTTTTTTACAGATGGCTATGACTACGCTCTTATGTAACAGACTGTATGTAAATAACTATATGTGGCATCAAATCTCCGAAGCCCACAATCAAGCAAGATGAGTTAGTAATATAGACATATTGTATTATGAACTGTGACCGGGTACGAAGTCCGGTGCATCAGGTGTTCACGTGCCGTCCGTCCCCGACAGGGAGATGTATAATATTGTAACCACTTTTACACACACACGATACCGTCCTCGCCGGCGAAGACGACGACCCCCAACACACCATATCGCGCAAGCAACCGGGCGCTCCACACCGGCAACCCCGGACGCCCCTCCGATCGATCCCCCGTCCAATTCAAACGGGGATCGATATTACGACGGCCTGAGCCGAGGTTCGAACCCCTAGTGGTGCCCTCAGACTAAAGTCGTATCCGTCAGGCAGGAGCTGGCCTTCAGCCACTCCATAAGTCCTTCCGCGCATTTGGAGTGCCATCTGCACTCGCCCCCTAACGTCCGGTGAAGCTGTAAAGGCCAGCTGCGGCCAACAGCATTAGAGTAGTCCGAAAAAAAAGTATTGTAAATAGTGACCGGGCACGGTGGAGTGCGCGATGAGTATGTCGGAGTAGACGCGCGAGGAGTGCGCGGGCGCGGCGGCGGCGGCGCGGCCCGGACGCCCGTCCGGCACGGCGTCCGGCGTGTCCGCCGCGCACGTGCCGTCCGGCTCCGGCAGGGAGATGTGCTTCGGCAGCGGCGGCATATCTTCCTTCGATCCCCTGCGAACGTTACAATACATTTATTATATTTATAAATCTTTAAAAGGCCGAAAGACATTTGAAAGTTAATATTGTTGGTGACTCAAAAAATAAAATAAATAGTGGACTGTGAATTATTATATTTAATATTAGGAATTATTATATTACAAGGAACTTTAATTGTCTAATTAAAAAGGTACGCACGTGACGTAGTAGGAGCAAGGGAAAGTGAAAACTGACCGGCCTAGGGGCTCAATAGTTCATGTTCGATAGTGCTCGATAATATTGTAATGAAAAGTATCAAAGTGTGTGACCCTCACAATCATTTCTAAAATCTTTCCTAAAAAAGTGTCATATAGTACTATGACTTGTAGTGGCAAATAAAGTAAGTACTATAACTGATAAAACTGTATTTCTTAATGTGATAGAAAATAAATTTTATAAAAAAAATCATGCATAAGGGACAAAAATATCCTACATAAATTACTGCACTTGAATTTGAATATATAATACACAATAAATATGACTACAAAAAACTGTTATCTTGACCAAAATAATATAGAATTAATCATATCATAACCTAAAAAAAAGAATTTATTTTTATCTGTATCTCTTGACTCCATTTGTAGACAACTTCGAAAACAAAATTTTAACTGGTTTTTTGGGTTATGATATGATTAATTCTATACTATTTTGGTCAAGATAACAGTTTTTTGTATTTGTATTTGTTTTATTTATGGTATAGGTGGATAGAGAATTTATTTGTTTTGCTTTACAGTGTAGGTTTTACAATATAAAGAGTTAAAATATTCTCATAATCAGGAGGCATGGAAATTACAATTTTTCTGTAATTGTTCTTGTAGATGTTCATAGGTTTTACAATATAAAGGGTTTTAAATGACGATAATGGAACGGTGCCCCCGCCTGCGCTAACGGTTTACGCTGGCGGCCACCAGTGGAGGATGATAAGATGAGCATGAGATCAGTTCAGTTAGCCCATTGTGACATTCACGAGGAATTTAACGATGGTTTCCAGGGGCATCCGCGTGGAGGTCAACCTGATATGGTACATTGCTAGCAATGAGTTCAGATTACTAACAATTCCCTTCCCCCCCAATATAAAGAGTTAAAATATTCTCATGACCAGGAGCCCTACAAATTACAATTTTTCTGTAAATTTTCTTATACAAATTCAAATTCAAAATATCTTTATTCATGTAGACTCTTATGATAAGTCAAATCTACCGTCAGTTCGGAATGATTTCGAAATGAGAAGAACTCACAAAAAACTCATTTCCGTATTTTTTTTTATTTTAAATAAATGTTGTACATATGTACAATAATACGGATTCATTTAAACTCATATTTGCGAGAATAGAGTGACCACCAGCATATGCTATTGCAAAAGAACAAAACATATAATCAGTGTTCGCAACCTGAACAGACCAATCCTCACAAGCAGCACCCGTTCACGAGTATGACGGATGAGCCAGCCATCATTGCACTCAACCATATTAGACTTTTGGGAGCACGTCGACCCGCCCACCACGAAGCCACAAGTTTGAACTTTATAGCGATCACGACTATTTCAAGTTACTCCACTACGTCATTTATAGTATTTACAGCATGAACTGTACCAATCACAGTTTTCACCCATTACAATATTTAATTTAGATTATTGAAATTACGATATGTCATTACCAAATTTGTAATAAGTTTCTTTAGTTCATACATTACTATAACATACCTGCAGGTCTGGAATATGAAGACCTTGGGCACCTTGTGCAGGTTTGGCAGCGCGTTGTTGTTGAAGTAGTCGACGAACCGCTGGAAGGACATGAGTCCGCCGTCGCTGACGCGGAAGTCGATGTCGACGGAGCCCGGGCGCGCGTACCCGTGCGACGACACCACCACGAACACGCACTCCGCGCCCGCCAGGCTGCACGCCATGCCCTCCAGCCGCGCCAGCGTCTCCTGCACCGCACCGCACCACACACCCCTCAACTTTTATTTATTTACTAGCTGACCACGCGACTTCGTCCGCGTGGAATAACTTTATTTTTCTAAAATAAAAGTAGCCTAAGTTACTCTTTATTACATCAGCTACCTGCCAAAGAAAGTCCCGTCAAAATCGGTCCAGCCATTTCAGAGATTAGCCGGAACAAACAGACAGGCAGACAGACAGATAACAATTGTAAAAAATGTTATTTTGGTGTATTTACCATATTTATATTCATATGCATGTAATAAAAAACGGTTATTTCAATATTACAAACAGACACTCAAATTTTCTTTATATGTATAGATGTATAGATTTTAGAAAGACTAACGATGTGATTTTACTTTGTCCATTTGTCCTATGCCAATTAAAAATCTTCACCAATAGCATTACTAAATTAAATTTAAATTAAACTTACTTACACCCAACTAATTACTTACTCTCGACTCTGATTCAGTCACACAGCCTCTCTAGTAACTTACTCCAGACTCCTATCAGTCACAGAACCTTCTCTAATTACTTACTACTGACTATTAACACGGTGGAGGATGACCGAAAAAGAGATGGATGGACTGCGTGAAAGAGATGGTGAGAAAGGGAGTAAATAACGAGATGACTGCGAACAGGGATGAATGGAAGAGAAAACCATATTACGACGACCACAAATAAATGGGATAAGGAAGAGGCAGATGATGATGATATCAGGTCTAGACTCGCGGTTTAGCGTACCGCTTTACTGCCGATGATCACGAGTTCGATTCCTCAAATGGTACGAACTTTTGTATTACTCTGAATGGTTTCTATGTTTATTATGTGCATATTTCCAAAAAAATATATATTCATATCAGTTGTCTAGTACCCATAACATAAGTTATACTTAGCTTGAGACTAAGACAATTCTCTGTCTGTTATATTTCTGTAATTTTTCTATTAAATTTTTTGTACCTCTGTACTGGAGGATAAAATTTAATAATTAAAATAAATACAATAATAATTAACAATTCTAATTTGTAACCAAAATAAATCTATTATATTTTGTAATAATTAGAACAACTAACTGCTGGCGTCATAGTATAAAAAAAATGAAAGTGCAGAATAAAGGTTTCTTTAAATTAAAGTAAAATAGAAGTACCTTGTACGTGAGATTGGGGTACGCGAGGACCTTGAAGTCGAGCTCCTTGAACAGGTACTTGAGGTTGTGACAGTCGATGTCGGCGCCCGGCCGCTTGTCCTCTATGTTGCTTTTGAACTCGTTGTATGTGAAGATCAGCATCACGCGTAGACCGCCCGACATTGGGTATACTTGGAAGCCTGGAAAATATATTTATGTTTAAAACATTTAGCAGTTTCGAGAGGTTATACCATATTTAGTATATGTGGGAAAGAGAAGGAAGTATTATGTCGTCTCTCGCGCACACTGCTGGCGTCATGAAGCCATTAAGCTGTGAACAGCGTGTGTTTGAGAGTCGATAAATAGGAAGAAATAATACAATAATTATAATATGAAATGTTATTATAAAGTAAAGAAAATAAATGGCACATTTCTCTAGAATTTCCTAATCTATCTAAATACTTGAATAATCAAAGATTACAAGTGTATAATAACAGTTATTATTATATATTAAAAAAAAACATATTTTAAGTTTGTTTAAGTAATAGTAGTAATAATAAATAAAATATAAGCCTTCATGTAAGTACAAATTAGTAAGTCGACGACCTCGGTGGTCTAGCGGTCTAGCACACCACTTTACAACTGTTGGTCGCGGTTTCGAGTCCTCGCACCGCTTTAAACACTTGTATTCATGAGTATGATTGTTTGTATCTGTCTGGGTGTTTTCTATGTATAATATGTATGTACTTACAAAAAAATGTATGTATATGTATCAATTATCTAGTACCCATAACACAAGTTTTAACAAGCTTAACTTGGGTCTAGATGGCGCTGTGTGAATTGTCCTGAGATTATTATATTATTATTATTATAGTAAGTACAATAAGTTTTAATAATTACAAATAATAATATTAACCTTTGCCATCATCATCAATGAATTTTGTAGACTTCTTGACTTCAAATGGCGGGTCTGCAAAGACGGGTGCAGGTGAAGGCGCGATAGTGGGTGCCGGTTGAACAGGCGCCTGAGGTTGCGTATCATCTGTAATAGGGAGATCTAAAAAAATACAATGAAGTAGATTTGATACAGTTAAAAGTAGAACACTCATTAAAAAAAATGCATTATTACATATAATATACCAATATACACAATGCTATAGTTTTGTTAAACATTGCATGCATGCTTGAAATGTAGCTATTTATATATACCTATATAATTATACAATTTGTAATTTAGTGACAGGTAATTATATAAAAGCATTATATATTCGCAATTAGCACTCAACGAACTCACAGTGGGTATGATCGAGCTCATGGTGTGTGCGCACCAAACTTGCTGTGACTATATAATGAATACACTCTGAATGTGCAGTTAACTCATAATGTTCTATTCGCTGATTAGAAGTTCTATTCTTCATTTTTGATATTTCAAAATAAATATTGTTCAAATTAAAACTATAATAATATTGTTTAAAGCCATTTAATTCTACTTCAACAAGTTATATACAATTAATAGAAAAATGATTCAAACAAGCAGGCACAATTTAGTTGGTGCCCATATATAACAAAATGTACATGTCTTGATACATAAAAATACTTTCCTAGATATTTCGGGATGCAATAATTCTCTACTTACTTCTTCTGTTGTTCTCTTTTTGTTTTCTTTCTTCTCTTATACTGATATATGAGCTTTCGTCATTTGCTTCAGTCTCTGAAGATAAAAATACGTTTTTAGTTTTTACGTAAAAATCATATCAATAAAATATACAGATATTTTCTATTAGTAAGCATTTTAGATTCATTGATGAAAGAGGTTTCACTAGTAAAGACTAGCTAACTTTAGCAATGTTATGGATTAAAACACGTTTAGATTTAGAATAATGTTTTTTTAATATGAATGTTTGTATTGAGGCTTATATCGAATGATTATATTTAAGTACTCTACATATTTGACTTTTTTGATATAAAGTTATATTGAGGGAGATAATAAAAGACACACACAATTATTATATTGTTGCTTACAACATTTTTCTTTAATTTCTTCACATTTGAAACAGTCAGCTACTCTAGATGTCTATGTTAGATAGTATAAATTAGAAATATAATAAGTCCTTAATATAATAACTTACTGAAATCATTATCAACTAGAATATGAGTTAATATATGAAAACACTTGAACAGGTATACAAATTATAGTCAAAACTATAGCACCTGCTGACCATATGGGACAAAAAAGATGAATCAAAATTGGTTCATTAGTTAAGAGATCTATCATATCAGAGATAGACATCTTAAACTTATAAATGCTCAGAATGGGAAAATATATAAATAATAAAAATAAAAGTTACAAACTAAACACAACATACAAACTAAAAGTTTTAATATAGGGCCATGTCAGTCATATATGTGTGACATAAAAAAAAGAATTTTTCCAGGAATTTTGGCAAAAAAATAAATCTGTGATACATTAAGTTTCCTTGATAAATTTTTAACTTAAATTATCCAATAAAGTTACCATGGCTCATGTGATTTTTTTTCTGACATTATTGTGGCGATTAATGTTAAAATGTATACTTAAGTTACACATTAAATGTAACTTGTAAATCTCATTTTTTAAAATGTATTCTTCTTACTTGTATTGTGTGAGTTTGATGAGTACTGGTGGAATTCCCCATCAGGGTCGAGTTCACGGACCAACGACCAGAGGCCGATCTCCCACAGTGTGTCGAGTAGATGACGGAATGCATTTGGTCCTCGTCGCATTAGGTGGAAGTAAAAGTTGCGTTTGCTTTCTTTATTTACATTCTGTAAAATACAATTATACAAAAAAAAACCATTAAATATCTAGTTGAATCATACTAAGAGAAAATTCATCACCTACTTCCACACCACAGAAATGGTAATATTCATTATTCAAATTAATTTATTATCATATTTTTTTATATTACCACTTATTTGGAATGCTCACTCATCACATAGGAATGATAAGAAATATAAATAATCTTTATTCAAATAAACTTTATATAAGCACTTTTTAATAGTCATATTTATTTATTCTACTACTTATTTGGAATGCTGACTCATAGTAAGAGGAATGATAAGAAACCTGCATATTGCTCTTTTATTACTTACTAATGTTGTTCAAAATTACATTTTTAACAATTTTTTATTACAAACTGCCAAATGGCAAAGTTGACATATATAGAAAAATAGTTACATGAGTAAAAAAATAAATGAGTTACAGTTATCAACACCAGTTCATGAGTATAACTACAAATTATTTATATTCATTGATGTTTCTGTTTTAAAGTCTATGCTCACTTTTTGTTGATAATAAGAGGATGAATACCACTAAGTCCAACTTAGTCCACCAAAATAACAGGAATGAGGGTTACAAGCTTCACATATATTTTTTTAACACTGCTATGGTGGCAAATAACCATACGGTCCATCTTATGGTAAATTTTATGTTGGTGTTCATGTGATAAGCAACGGGTGCCACTTACTATCAAGTGAGTCGCCAGATTATTTGCCTTTCAAGGTAAACAAAATAGCAACTACACTCATGAATGACTTTTTTATGAATTTTATTTGTTTCTCTATTGTTTTTATTACACCACTTTTTTTTTATAATGATATTAACTACTTCAGCCGCGATTTGATACGGCTAAATCTGAATGATATACAGAATAGTAATTTAGTGAGATAAACTTACCTTGTATTGTTCTATCATTTGTTCGGTAAAAACCCCTTTCTCGTATAGCGCTGAGACCATTACGTTTAGGTCAGTTTGCGCCAGCAACGATGTAAAGTTTCTTTGTATTGCATCTTTGTGTCTAGGTTCCATTATTTCAAGTCAACAGTTCACAACATTCAATAAACAAATGTATATCTTTATACAATCAAATACAAAATTTTTTAACTATACATATATGTAGACACCAAAGTAGACATACTGATTACACAAAATTTAGTAAAAAGTTAAAGTTTTACATATGCACCAATATGCACAATACACTGTACATGCTCCTTGAATTATACAAACAAAAAAGTTTTTTTTTACTTACATTACAAGAAATTGACGTAATCGTTATATGACATTGACAAAAACGTTACGAGACATTGTTTGATATGTAGTTTACAGAGTAGATTATTGCTTTTTTCTGAATATACTCTATGTTTAATATAAATAATTTTAGATTTTGATATAGAGAAATTGCTAATAAGATTTCTATAATTTACTTTAAATCACTTTGGGATTGAGTGTATTTCACATAGTACGTCATATTTTGTGTATATTTCGAAAATACGGAAACACCCATCAACCATACCTTATTTTGTACTTAAATATATGCATCAGACCACCAAAAGCTTATCAAAATGAAAATTATCTTCATATTTAGCTGTGTAATATTTGCTGCTGGTGCCTTAGCGTATGAAAATTCAGACATTCTCTCAGCTAGAATCGAGGTACAGTATTGTATTATACAAAACAATACGAAATTTACCAAACATAAACTAGGTCTAAAACTAATATCTCATTGTAGAGTTGCAGAGGATGTTCATTAAACCGCTTGCCCGAAGTAAAGAAATTCGTGATGGATGACGCCCCATCCTACGAGCGGCTGGAGGTGAAATTTATAACGGGCGCCGCACCGGAAGTGGTCCTGCTCGGAGAAGGCGATGTTGAACTGGAACGGCTCGCTCTGTCCCACCTCAGTCGGCAGGAGTGTAACGAGCTGCTTCAGAGCAGAGGTTTCATTAAGAAAACTAAGAAATCAGAGTTTTGAAGAAAATTTTTATTCCACTACATTTGTAATGTTCATTCCATTTAAAGAAATATTAGGACTATTCCATGAGTAAAATTCATTATTATAAATTTTGATCAATGAATACAAAAAAAAGTAGTAATCACTAATAGAAAGTAAAATTAATAGTGAACATTGTCACTATTATTTTCTTTTCTCTTGTATTCTTAAAACTTATGATAGAGTAATTGTATTTACACATGTAAATAAGTGATATAGAACAAATTAGATAATGTTTTAGTGTGATTTAACTTGTATCTTTCTATTGAAGAGTAAAGGTTTTATTAGAAAATAAAGTATGTTTACTTACCTAATAATAATATACACAGGGGCGGTTCATGAATTTGTGGGGAACCTGGACTGAAACTATTTAGAGACCTACCTATTTATATTACTCAACTAAAAAATACACCAAAATCAAGTGACAGGTAATTCCTAGTCCCATTCGACAGGTGGGCACATGCATTGGTTGATTGATCTCAGGATTGCCCACCATGTTGATAGGTTTTTTTTGTATTTTTTTAATTCTAAATATCACCTATTATTTTTAGTAGGGGTTAGGGGCCCTGGGCAGAAGTAGATCCGCCCCTGTCTGTACAACCCTTATCCCAGGTGTGGTGGTATGAGTCATTCAACAGTGGATGTTGTGGTTATTGCAGCACATGATAAGCTCACACTCAAGGTATTTTACATAATGGGAAGAGTACAATGGAAAGCCTCATGGTAAATTATCATTTATCAAGATGGGCTAACTGACCTTGACTTTAATTTCATTTTATCGACCTCCAATTGAGCCCCGCCTAGTGAAAACCATGGACATGGTGCATTTTGTTAAGATCTATAAGAAATAAAAACAATGGTAGACGATTGTTAGTAATGTGGACACATTACTAACAATCGCGCCTGTGATAACATGTACCATGTCATTATTTAAATTATTAACCTCTTAAGACAATATTTTATGGCAAATAAAGGTATTTATATCGAAACGTCGAGAGAGGTAAATACCTTTATGGTATAAAATCGTGTTAAATTTTTTAAATAATGTATATTAAACACGAAAGTTTAAAATTAACTGTACCATGTCATGTTATATGGTTCCATTCAAAAACCATACCATTCTCCACATATTATTCCATTAGCTCAGTTGGGTGCACTATATCATATTGAACCATCAAAGAAAAATAAGGAAGGAAGGGATATATATATATATATATATATATATATATATATATATATATATATATATATATCATCTTTCCTTATGCGAGCAGTTAAGGAGTGGAACTCTCTACCAGCGTCTATTTTTCCTGCCTCTTACAACATTGGGTCTTTCAAATCAAGAATGAATGGGCATTATTTGAGCTTATACTTAACATCTGGTGAGATTGTGGTCAAAGGCGTACTATACTACGCGTAATACCCTGTCAAGTCTGCCTTCATGTGGTGAAACCTTTTTGATTAATTCCTGATGAATAAGCCATGATTGACTAACTAATAAAAACCGCATACATCCTCATTCTTTCACCAGTCACTGGTGCCCCATCAGATTTAACTCACGCTAATGCGTCTTTCCATTTATATCTATAAGGAATTATATATGAAGAGTTTGAAACTGTTTTTAATAAATGAAAAATTTTAACGCGAGCTTGTGACGATAAGAATAATAATCTTCATTATGAAAATCAGTATTTTATTTGTCTATAAATCTGATGATAATAAACTAGCGTGATATTATATGATACGGTGGTGGGTCAAATTCGCCATGTTTCATTTAACTTAAAAAAAAAGGTAAATTGAAAAGTGGATATCGTGTTCATTTTGTTATTTATGTCTTCTTGTAGGTAAGTTGTTATCGACGTAATATCGGCTCGTTAGCCATAGCTCTACGTTTTCTTGCGCTTGCGCAGGGAATCCCTTCCCTTTGCGCACGGCGGTCAGTGTACGTTCGGCTCGAGACGATAGATAATAAACTAGTGTTTCCACATACACTACAAGGATCTAATAGGAACCAATGGCGTAGTTAGGTAACCAAGGGTCCTGGGGCCAATAAAAAAATGGTACTAATACCTTACACTTTTATTAGAACGCACATATCGCTATCCATCAAATTAATAATACTGCCAACCTACAGAAAGAATTTAAAGGAATTCCGAAGGTATAAGTTTAGAATTTCTCTCAACCATCTCACCATGTTACCATGATTTTAGAATAGAAAATCATTTATTCAAATAAACTTACATTGAAGCACTTTTGAATAGTCATTAGATTTTTTTAATCTACCGCTCGTTCGGAAAGCTGTCTCATCACAAGAAGAACGAGTAAGAAACTTGCGTGTTGCTCTTTTAAATAATTTTATTATTACTTTATTAAAGTAGGATTGCAACCTGTCATATTTATTGTGAAAATGGGAGAAATTTTGATAAGTTTAGTTCGATCGAGATTTTCCAACAAGGGTTCAAGGACAAGGAACTGGAGTACCTCGGTATCTACGCCACTATTAGGAACCACCTGTTTTGTATAGAGATTACGAATCAAACAATGGTAGACGTGATAAAGTGCTCGCGCCGTGATAACATTATCTGCAAATAACCTCTCAATGACAATACTTATGTTATTATACACTCGAGGATTAATGGTATAAAATCAGAAATTTTTGTAACTAGCTGTACCGGGCAACTTCGTCTGAGTTATATTTTCGTCGTTTCTGCAATATTTTTCATTACAGCTATGACTATTGGTCATATTGTGATGTATATATATATATATATAGTCTACTAGCTGAGCCCGCGATTTCACGCGCGTTAAATTTAAATATAAAATATAGCCTGGGTTATTATGATGTATAAGCTATCTTACTGTAAAGTTTCATCAAAATCCGTTTAGTAGTTTTTGCTTGAAAGTAATATTATTAAGATAGGTAGATTCTATTTGCTTTAGATTTAACACATTGTCTGTAATAGACCTACATGAATAAAGATATTTAATAAAATTTAATAGCTTTTCCCAATAAATGTACTATTCAACAGTAAAAGCATTTTCAAAATCGGTTCAGTAGGTACTTTATCGCGAATGTTCAAACTCTTACCTTCTTCTTCTTTTAATTTAAATGGCTTCCACCAAATGTGGTTGGTGATTTTGCCAATGTCGTGGTTTGGGAGACACAGTGGTGTGGTTTACGGTTTTCGCTGTGCGTATAACGGACTGTTGCGCGCGGCTGAGAATGCTAAGCGCGCACACCATATGTATATGTTAGTTTACAATTAAAATAGTACTAACTCTTACCTTACTCTTTCTCAAACGTCAAACTTTACCTTCCCTCAAAATTTACCTCGTGACAAGTGAATTCTCCTATGTCAGAAATTTAAACAATTGACGTTTATAGTGTCAAAACATTGCTCTCTGCTGCTGCTCAATTACTACAAGTACTTTACCCCGAGCGACTAAAAAGCAGCGACATCGTGTAATATTTGCAGTATGCTTAAGGAGTAGATCCTCCCGCTGGGGTGGCCACTCCATTCTGAGATGCCACACCCAAAAAATCTGCTCATAGTTCTGGGACTGATTGCAGATAGGGAGAGGAAAGGAAAAAATACGGTACAGCAAAATAAAACAAGTACATGGTATATTAGATTAAGTTTATTAAATACAATGGAGTAATGATTAGTTAGTAATATATTGCGGCCTAGGTGAGCAGCGTGCAGTCGAGGTTGTGGTCGTCGCGCGCGTCGGAGTGCGCGCGGCGCAGGACGCGCGCCACCACGTCCGCCAGCGCCTCCCGCGCGCCCTCCTCCAGCAGCGCCGCGCACTGCTGCGGCGACCACCCACGGTTACGTACACCTCACTTATACTACACCTTCCTTCACGCATTGTCTAAGACGTTAGGTGTTACTTATAAATGTATGCCACCTCATTTTGCTATAGTATGTAACTTTTAAAAAGAGAACACAGAACACTAACTAAATATCTCATTCTGAGCTAATTCATTGGAGGGACATACAAAATCCTTTACATTAGTACAAAATATTTGTTTTATTTTCAAAAGAACAAAAGGATAGTACAAGCAAGCATCATCAGAGCGCATTTAGGGTAAGGGGGGTAAGGGACGGTTATGTGTACCTCAATCTATACTACATGTTCCTTCAAGCAAGATCAGGAGCGAGTTTAAGGTAGGGAGGTAGGGGTAGGGGGAGGGGGAAGGACGGTTATGTACACCTCAATTTATACTACACGTTCTTTCTCGCACGATCAGCAACGTGCGTGTATTAGCGCAAACAATCGTGAGTGACTGCATTTCACTACTGGTGTTTACATACACGAGTAATTACATGTTTCATGTCACATTACTTTCTTATAAAATTAATTTTCCAAGGAGACGTTTAATATTTATGAATTACTAGCTACCCGGGGTAAACCCGAGTGGCTTCGCACGGGTGTACATATGTTATACATATAAAACTTCCTCTAGATTCACTCTATCTATTAAAAAAAAACCGCTGCAAAATCCGTTACGTAATTTTAAAGATTTACGTATACATAGGAACGGACAGACAGCGACAGCAATTGTGTTTTATACTATGTAGTGATGATAAATATCTCTAAAATTATGTCTCCGCTCCATAGGCAGATGTCTGATGATCGCTTACCATCAGAGCGGTCAGCTTCGCCATTCCAATAACAAGTGCGTGTTGGCACGTGTTCGTGCGTGCGTGGGTGCGTGGGTGTGTGCGTGCGTGGGTGCGTGGGTGCGTGTTGGCACGTGTTCGTGCGTGCGTGTGGGTGCGTGGATGCGTGGGTGCGTGTTGGCACGTGATCGTGGGTGCGTGTTGACGTACCTGGTGGAAGCGTTCGTCGTGCGGCAGACGCAGCACGTGCCGCAGCGCGAGCTCTGAGTTGGCGCGCACGTAGGTGTTCTTCTCCTTGGTGCCGTTGACGAGCGCGGGCAGCAGCGCGCGCAGCAGCTCGCCGCCGTTGCCTTCGGCCGCCGCCTCGCGCCCCACCACCGCGCTTGCGCTCGCCATTAACTGCTTCACCTCGTTGCTCGGGTGGTTCATGCTCTGTGGTCCAAAATGTGTCAATTTATTAACTCTCCATCTCTAGATGCTATCATTAAATCATTTTGATGGTTGAGAAAATAATTCACACTATACTTTTAAGTACTTAAACCGATGTCCTACAGTTGCTGGGATGGTTCATAGAATAGTGGAAATCCAAAATGTGTCACATTTTTTATCTACCGCTCGTTCAAAAAACTGTCTCATCACAAGAAGAACGAGCAAGAAACTTGTGTGTTGCTCTTTTAAATAATCCTTGTAAGTTTTGCGTCAAATATAAATATACAATAGGATTAAACCAGTCGTAGTGATAAGAGCAAACCAGTCCCAATAAGCAGCAAAGGGTGGTGATTTGAGTAAAGAAATGATAGGTGGTGTACTATAGATACAGAAATAAATAATATACTACAAAACACTTACTAATACAAAATACATACATATATAAATAGAAATATAGTATATGTAATAATATTCAATATATATTTATATATTAGAATTTTCTTGTTTGTCTAATTAATATATCAATGTATAACTTAAACTATTAAAAGAGATTTAAAAAAACAACTGTTTAAAAGTGTTCAAATTTAAGTTTTTCTAGTACATTCTATTAATCTTGGACACTACTGGAATTCGAATCGACAATGAAATACGAATATATACACGCAACTGTATGCGCGCCGCCAGTGCCCCGCGGGCGTACTCACCCTAACGAACTGCGAGAGTATGTTGGGCGGCAGCGGGCGGTCGTCCTGCAGCAGGTGTCGCATGAGGTAGGCCATGCCGCGGATGGCGTTGCAGGCGAGCGGCGTGCGGTCGCTGGCCAGGTACCCGAGCAGCGCGCGCTCGATCTTCTCCTGGAAGGGGTCGCGGTACACGTGGTGCGGGGTCTCCTTCAGCGCCACGAACAGCGCGCACGAGCGGCCGTGCTGCAGCAGCCAGTCGTCGGGCGCGGCGGGGGCGGGGGCGGGCGCCAGCACGTGGTGCAGCAGGGCGGCGTCGCGGTGGGCGGGCGGCAGGCAGTGCAGCAGCGCGCCCAGGCAGCCGCCCACGGCCGCGCGCGGGGGGTCGTCCGCGTGCGCCAGCAGCGCGGGCCCGCTCAGCGTGCCCAGGATGCCCAGCGCCAGCTGCTCCGACACCTTGTCGCCGCCGCGCGTGATGATGCTGCGCAGCGCCTGTCACGTCGTACACGTGTAAACACCCTCTATAGCCGACTGTTTGTCTTCTAAATGTACACATATAAACACCTTGTATACGTGACGACCACACGAATAATCGACAACTGTTTGTCCTCTAAAAATGTATATCCGCGTATGGATTACTGCTCTCATCTTTGGGCAGGAGCACCTGGATACCAGTTCGGTCTTTTTGACTCGGTTCAGAGATGAGCTATGAGAATTGTCGATGATCCCGACCCCGAATAATTAAACTATATATACGCAATTTTATTTATTAAATACACAAATACAATCTGCTTCTTCCTTATCACATTTATTTGGAATCAGCGTAATACATTTTTCTCTTCCATTCATCTCTGTTCGCAGTCATCTCGTTATTTACCCTTTCTTATCATATCATCTTTCACTCAGTCCATCCATGTCTTTTTCGGCCTTCCTCTGCCCTTATTAACAATCCACATTCATATGTAACACCTTCCTTAAAATATTATCTTCACTCTTACGCATTACATGCCCATACCACGACAGACGATTACTAGTGACCCGACTCTTGGACAAGAACGTAAGAACATATTATTCATATTTTAAAAAACAAAACTAGATATTAAATTAACGATTTTGCAAATATATTGACACCTACCGACCTATCCAGGCTGTAGTGATTCATTATAGGTAGTAATGAAACAACTATCTTAGTCGTATTTGGAACAATTTAAAACTTACGTATAACATTATATGATTAATGTACTATCTAAGCATGTTATAAAGTGAAAAACACTCTAAAGCTAGATATTACAGCTTCACCGGACGTTAGGGGGCGAGTGCAGATGGCACTCCAAACACGCGGAAGAACTTATAGAGCGGCTGAAATATATCCTGCCTGACGGATACGATTTTAGTCTGAGGGGTGCCCACAGGAGCACCTAGGGGTTCGAACCTCGGCTCAGGCTGTCGTGATTCATTATGGACGGGGGATCGATCGGAGGGGAGTAAATGAGAAACAACTATCTCGTACCGATCTTAGTTATAAATATAATTATTTAGTATTGTACTAAAAACATGAATGTTAGAAACTTATCTGTATAACATTATATGATTGTGTGAATGTAACAAGAATATTCTCTTGGTTATAAAACGTTCATGTTATCGATGTAGAAATAATAGATAACACGGCGACATCTAGTTAAGACGGAACTATTCTGTACTACAATTAACAAAAGCGCGCAGTATTGCCAGGGGCGGATGGTGCCCGCTAAATCTCGTGACCAAAAATAAGCGTCCTTGTTCCTTTCGATAAACGCGCATGGGTTGATCGATCTCAGGGTTGCCAACCTTATAGGTTTTTTAACATTCTAAATATTTTTTTTTTATTATATCGTCAGTGAGTACTGGGGGGGGGCTTTGTATCCTCGGGGCCCTGGGATGCAGCCCAAAAAGGTAGATCCGTCTCTGAGTGTTGCGCAAATAATGTGTAACGTTACAGAACTGTTCAGAGTCGGAACACGTACCTGCAGCATGGTCTCCCGGATGGCAGGGTCTTCTGCGTTCTTGATGCCGTTGTGCATCTCCACGAACAGAGGGTCGGCGCGCGTGTGGATGACCACCAGCTGCGAGAGCGCCAGCCCCGCCTTGATGCGCACGGCCCGGTTGGGGTCGTGCAGCGCCTTCAGGAATGTCGTCTGCAGCTGCGGCAGGAACTGCTTCAGCATCACGCCCACCTGGTACACAAAACATATTTAATTCTAATTCAAATTCAAAATATCTTTATTCATAGACCTACTATTACATATTTTTATGATATGTCAAATCTACCGTCAGTTCGGAATGATTTCGAGATGACAAGAATTGAATAGAAACTCTACCTTGGAGAGTAGCAAGGCCAGTGTCTCCAACACAGCGGCCTTGACGCTGGAGTTGAACCGGTCGCCGAGGATACGGATGAGGGGTCCCGTGATGTGCACCACGGACGGCTGGATGGCGGCCGGGGACGTCAGCTTGATCACCTCGCCCAACATCAACGCCGCATTCTCCTTGTCCTCCGGCAGACCGTTGAGGATGGACTCGCGGAACAGTGGCAGGATTGGTGCTATACCCTGTAATATGGATATGATATTTATATATGATTATAACCTGTCATAGGGTAGTCAGTTGTGGCGATGAATTCGCTGTCGATGGCTGAAGATATGCCGAAACATGTGGACAATAAAGAGCAATAGAACTGAGATTTTTTTACTAATATTCAAAGTATTTATTCCTAACGTCTATTACAGACTTTTATGATATGTCAATCTACCGTCAGTTCAGAACGATTTCGAGATGAGAAGAACTGACAAGAAACTCACCCGTATTATTTTCAAATGTTGTACATGTTTACAATAATACAGATATTATAAAATAATTAGGTATCTTCTTGAGTGTTTTGGCGTGGCGTACCTTGGGCAGACAGAACCCGGGCAGCAGGTCCTGTCGCAGATCCGCGGCGGCGTACCGCACGGCCTGGCGCACGTCGTGCACGTGCAGTATCTGGTGCTCGGCGTCCAGCGTCTTGGTGAGCGCGGCCAGCGCCTCCCACGCCATCTGCAGCACGTCGCGCTCCGAGTCCGCGAACAGCAGCAGCAGCCCGCGCAGCAGCTGCGGCACGTGCGGCGCCAGGTCGGCGCGCGTGTGCGACACGTACGCGCACAGCAGCACCGACGCGGCGCGGCGCCGCCCGCCCTCCGCGCCCCCCGCCGCCCCCGCCGCCGCCGCGCCGCCCGCCGCCGCCGCCGCGCCCGCGCCCCCCGCGCCTCCGCGCGACGCCTCCAGCAGCGTGTCCACGATGCTGTGATGCGAAACAGCTCATGAATCATGACGTTACGCCTCGGAATTGCAAAGCATGAGTGATATCACGAACGTCATACGATATCCGTAATGCAGTTCTTACAATGCGTATATGGGTGATTACCATTTTATTTTATGAAGTTATGTGGTTTTAAAATCACAAGTTTAACGTCACAACACCCTTTCTTCCGATCGTGAATAGAATAGTATTAAAAATTCTTTATTCAAATAAACCTAAATAATTTCGAATAGTCATCCTATGTTTTTCTCAACATAAGAAGAATAAGACTAGGCCGATTGCAAGACATGAATATGAAAAAAATCATAAGAATAAGCAAGAAACTTGCCTGATTTTTAAGCGAACCCTCTTCGTTCGTGTCCATTAGTCACGTGACTAATGGACAGGCCGTAAGGGAGCGTACTCACCAGCGCGGGCAGCACGCGCGGCAGGTGGCGGCCCGGCGCGTGCGTGTCCACGGACGCGGCCGAGTGTACTCACCAGCGCACGCCGCCGGCCTCCGTGACGGGCAGCAGCGCGTCGCGGCAGTGGTCGAGCTCGCGCGGCTCGTCGACGCGGCCGAGTGTACTCACCAGCGCACGCCGCCGGCCTCCGTGACGGGCAGCAGCGCGTCGCGGCAGTGGTCGAGCTCGCGCGGCTCGTCGACGCGGCCGCGCGCGGCCACCAGCGCGGACAGCAGCGCGGGCAGCACGCGCGGCAGGTGGCGGCCCGGCGCGTGCGTGTCCACGGACGCGGCCGAGTGTACTCACCAGCGCACGCCGCCGGCCTCCGTGACGGGCAGCAGCGCGTCGCGGCAGTGGTCGAGCTCGCGCGGCTCGTCGACGAGTCGGCCGCGCGCGGCCACCAGCGCGGACAGCAGCGCGGGCAGCACGCGCGGCAGGTGGCGGCCCGGCGCGTGCGTGTCCACGGACGCGGCCGAGTGTACTCACCAGCGCACGCCGCCGGCCTCCGTGACGGGCAGCAGCGCGTCGCGGCAGTGGTCGAGCTCGCGCGGCTCGTCGACGCGGCCGAGTGTACTCACCAGCGCACGCCGCCGGCCTCCGTGACGGGCAGCAGCGCGTCGCGGCAGTGGTCGAGCTCGCGCGGCTCGTCGACGCGGCCGCGCGCGGCCACCAGCGCGGACAGCAGCGCGGGCAGCACGCGCGGCAGGTGGCGGCCCGGCGCGTGCGTGTCCACGGACGCGGCCGAGTGTACTCACCAGCGCACGCCGCCGGCCTCCGTGACGGGCAGCAGCGCGTCGCGGCAGTGGTCGAGCTCGCGCGGCTCGTCGACGCGGCCGAGTGTACTCACCAGCGCACGCCGCCGGCCTCCGTGACGGGCAGCAGCGCGTCGCGGCAGTGGTCAGCTCGCGCGGCTCGTCGACGCGGCGCGCGCGGCCACCAGCGCGGACAGCAGCGCGGGCAGCACGCGCGGCAGGTGGCGGCCCGGCGCGTGCGTGTCCACGGACGCGGCCGAGTGTACTCACCAGCGCACGCCGCCGGCCTCCGTGACGGGCAGCAGCGCGTCGCGGCAGTGGTCGAGCTCGCGCGGCTCGTCGACGCGGCCGCGCGCGGCCACCAGCGCGGACAGCAGCGCGGGCAGCACGCGCGGCAGGTGGCGGCCCAGCGCGCCGCCCGCCGCCGCCGCCAGCGCCGACAGCGCGTGCGTGTCCACGCCCCCCGCGCCGCCCGCCGTCAGCACCGGCACCAGGTACGGCAGCACCGCGCGGGACTTCAGAGACATTATCTGCAACCACCGCCACCGTGTTATACATATGAGTCGTCTAGTGTCTTGGGACTAGATAGTGTTGTGTAAGATGTTAACTGCGACCACCACTAACCACAACCGTATTTCTATCGGTTGTCTAGTATCTTGGAACTAGATGATGTTGTGTAAAGTGTATTATCTGCGACCACCGCCAACCGTGGCCATATTTATAAGTATTTCTATCGGTTGTCGTGTATCGTGGAACTAGATGGTGCTATACGAAGTGTTCTAGGTTATCAGGTATTATTACGTGATTGGATTGTGATTAGGGATTGCTAGTCTCACAAATTTTGGATACGCTGTATGTTTCTTATCCCAACGAGTTGTAAACGACGCGTATATCCGTGTGGAGGTAGTAACAGTCGAGTGTGTGGTGCGCGGTGCGCGGTAGTGACCTGCTTGAGCCCGTCGAGCGAGGCGTCGGCGACGTCCCTGTCGGGGTCGTTGAGCGCGCGCAGCATGTGCGGCAGGATGTCGTCGAGCGCCTTGGTGCCCACGGTGCCCTGCAGGCTGTCGAACGTGCGCGCCGCCGCCTGACGCACCTCCGGCAGCGGGTCGCACAGCGCCGCGCGCACGGTCGGGATCTGAACATATATCATTCGTTCACTCATATTCATATACGAGAGAGCGGTTTCGGCTTCAGATTTTTATGACCGGCCGCTCGCCTGACATCAACCTTTCTTAGTCTTCTTGTCCAACACACTTTGCTGTCAAATTAAAAACTAAAATATATAGGTTTGTTAAAAACTCGGCCTTATCCGATCGGAATTTTTTTGAGTGGTAAACGATTTTTGACCTTTGATGTAATTTTGGTCTCGATCAGTCAAGCAGTTTCGATTAGTATTTTCTTTTATATGGCAGAACAACGTTTGCCGGGTCAATTAACAATAATATATTACTACTTAAATCTTTAACTATCAAATTTTATCAGTTTGATTATCAGACTCAGCTATGAGTGTATGTAATAGTTTGAAATAAGGATGGCACGAGAGAAGCAGTAGAAGAGGTTACCAGACCGCATGCCATCCAGGATCGGAATGATCTCTAACAGCACGCTGGTATGTGAGGAGGACCTTACCAGTCCGTCGGCGAAGTTGTTGACGGCGTCGCGCGAGGTGGAGTTGAGGATCTCGCTGAGGCCGATGCAGACGCCTTGCCGCTGGTCGGCGCGGTCCGACCGCATGCCGCGCTCCAGGATCGGAATTATCTCCGGCAGCACGCGCTCGCCCAGTTGCTAAATATCACAAGCGTCTCCTTTAATATTACATTCTTTAATATTAAATAGCCTCTGGTGCTGTCGACTGCTCGAATCTCCTGGGTAAATTATCCATTAATATATATACTATATCTGTTCCCCTAGTGTCATCGTCAATTCATTTTTAAGCAACAATTTTAATAAACTATCTAAAACAGTTAATATAGATATATTTTGTAATAATATTAAATCAACGAGACACCAACTGTCAGTGGCTTAATTATTATTGAATATATTGATGTATATATTATAAATTTAGATGTACTTGAATATTCTCTGTTGATTTTCCTTTATACGTAGTGATGTAAATTTTTTAATAAATAAATAAAATAATATATACGAGTTTATTTAAGATGTACTTGAATAGCCTTGGTTTTCCTTTAATAAATAAATAAAATAAATTACGAATAAGTGCGTTGAAAAGAAATAAACATAGTAAGCAATATATGTTTATTTCTTTAAACACACTTGCTCGTTAAGTTTTCACCGGTTTTCGATGTAAAAAGCAGCTTTTATAAAACACGCGTGCGTTATAAACGCAAATAGTGGAGTTATATTCCATAACCGCACTATTTGATATTTCTTATTCTAAATTTTGAACTGACCGTCGTTAGCCATGAGGAAGCGCACTAAAAAAGTAAAACGGTGGAAAAGCAACCGTGAGCATCACAGTTTTACGGTTGAGTTTCTTTCATATCAAGTGTGTTGAAAAACGTCGTACGAGACATCTGTATTTAACACACTAAGCTCTATTACGACCTCGCCTTCGATATTCCGTTCGTTGTCTGTTATAACTATATATCATATAATATATAATATTCTATTTAATTTAGTGAATAGAAATGACATTAACAGTTTCCAATTATGATGGCGTTAGCGATACTTGTAAAATATATTTATTATTCTACATGGTCAAAATGGTTAATGTTCCTATATACGTTTCAATTCTGTTCTATTCAGTTTTTGAAAGATTATGCCAATCACCTGTATATAGTGTTCATATTGTGTTTCATTTAGGCCGGATTTCACCAATCGTAGCATAAACACGTTCAAGGAAACGGAGTTCAGCGTGAACTCGAAAAAAAGAACGACGTTGATCTCGTTTTAACTTATTAGAGAGTTAATAATAATAATAATATTTATTCATGATACACAGTTTACAAAATGAAATTTAATTTTTATTTGTTCACAGTGTTACTCGCAGGCCTGTATTTTAGAAATAATATTTTATTGTTATTTTAAACATTTTAATGGCTTGTGTGTACGAATAAATTTGTGGATGTATAATCGTGGTGAGCATTGGTGTGAATGAGAGTGTGTATGTATGAATATATGTGTGTGTGTGTAGTTACTTTGTAAGCACTAACCTTTCTAACAAGATCGCCGAGAGTGCGCGCGGCGACTTGACGTTTATCGAAACTCGTGGAGGCGAGACAGCCGAGCAGTAGCGTAAACAATGTTGGCAAGATCTCACGCAGCGTCTTTGGTGTGTTGGTCACTACCACCTGAAATAAAATCACAGTATTGATATCTTACCTGATTCTCTCCCCTTCTACTTACCTCTCGTATATGAACTTAGTATAAAAATTGTAGTATTTAAAAAAAAAAACTTAGATAACATGATGAAATCATTAAATATGGGAAATATGTGTATAAGAGTTTGTTTTTATTTTGTTACATGAATAGGAGCATAGGGGCCTGCAGGTCCCTGGTTACCATCTTCGTGGAAACACAAATGTATTTTTCAATTCCATCCATCAAAATTTATAGAATCGATTATTTTCTGACTGTAAGTTCATCCGAGTGACCATGACAGAATATCATGAGATAAAGATTCTGCGACTTTTTCTACCTTAAATGGTACATACACTTAAGTGTAATGCTACGCTTTCAGGCATTAACTATATATCATGACATTTGGTACATCTGATTATATAGAATGGAGATCAATTACTTTGACAAGAAAACGCGAGTAGTTAGAACTTGTAATTCATATCAATCTGAACTCCTATTTGCAATAGGTAGATCATTAAATAGTATAAAATAAAGTCGCTGTCGCTGTCTGTCCCTATGTATGCTTAAATCTTTAAAACTACGCAACGGATATTGAAGCGGTTTTTTTAATAGTGATTCTAGGTTTATATATATATAATACATGTACACCCGGGCGAAGCCGGGGCTAGCTAGTATAATATATTAAGGGGTACCTTCCAGACGTGCAGCGCGGCCTGTCGCACCATGAGCGCGACATCGCTGCGTCCCATGTAGAGTCCGGCCAGCACCCTGTTCCTGCGCTCGCTGCCGAGCGCGCTCATGATGGCCTTATGCGAGTGCTCCGTGCCAAAGTTGTCATCTTCGGACGCCGTCTCCGTGCTCATCTTGCCGGACACGCCCGAGATGCGGTACAGCAGATCACCGAGCAGTTGCACGGAGCTGTACCGGATGCGCCAGTTGTCGTCGAACAGGCCCCGCTCCAGCTCCGGCAGCAGTAACGTGATGGCGGTCTCCGCGTACAGATTCACGATCCTCTGTCCGGCCTTCAGCGCGGTCTCGCGCACGTACTCGTTCTCGTCTGCGAGGGCTTTCAGTATGGGGTTGATGATCTGCCCGATGTACGGGGTGAACTCGTCGGTGAAGGCACCCGGCATGTAGATGAACATCATTATGTAGCCGTCCTTTACGTGTGGAGCGATGTCGGTGCGCTCCGCAGTCGCTATTATGTCTGTACGGACATTTGGCAATATTTATATCTGTATCTACGCAATTTTCAAAGGTGTATGGTAAAATAAAATGTAACGCAAGACAAATAGAGTAGCCTATTAGTTCAAGCCATGAACTCATGATGTGCTGTGGGAGCGATTAATGCATATTGACGTCATTATTTCTTTTTCTTATGCACACAAAAGTAGATGTCCTAAATTATTGCCTGATATAAATTTATTTAAAGTATCTCAATTCATGCAGCCTACTAGTCATTAGTCCATCATTAATAAATAATTAGAAGCATGGTTAGCAATGTACCATGTTAGGTTGACCTCCACGCGGTTCCCCCTGGAAACCATCTTGATAAATGGCAATTTATTACACTAACTGACCTGACCTCATGTTCATGTTATCATATTCCACTATACATCCACTGAATCCAGTATGTAATGTATGTAATGTAAACTGTTAGCACAAGTAGGTGCATAATTACATTATCATCCATAAAAAAAAGAAAGAACTAATTTGTTTATTAGCTATTAACATTATTAAAAAAAATCAACCTGTTTTGGTAGTACAAAAGTAAGCAATTGGGCAAGATTAAACCGCATAGGTTGTTCTTTAATCTTACCTCGATAAAGAGTGTTGCACGTATTGAGTCAGTGATATAACACTACATTATAATAATCTATATTATATATATATATATATATATATATATATATATAAAAAAATTGTTATTAATGTTTAAAAAAATCTTCTATAGTATTAATTAAAATTAATAATCAATTTTTTTTATTTTAATATCATATATATTTGTGGAATGTGGTATACAGTAACCCATTACATGCATTTAGAACCTTTAAAATGTATTTCAGTAATAAATATGACAATATATATATTAATCTCTACAGTTCGGTTATAGTCTCTTATTATTATGTCGTATTTTTACATGTTTGAAACATGTCCTTTTTCCGATCACCACAAACATCAACACTGCTATAATAATGAGACAATATTCACATAATTAATTTAACAATTAATAACATAAATATTGTACATTTTGTCAAAAATATCTCCACCACTAACCTGGCATGATCTTGTGGAGTTTCTGCACCCCGAGTCCTGCGACCACCTCTGAGAGTCCCTGTGCTGCGCCCGAGCGGTCCACGCTGCTGCTCTCCGAGGTGAGGGTGTGCATCAGCCACGGCAGCAGCTCCTCGAAGCTGCTCTCGCCCATGCCCTTCACCATGGCACCGAGCGCGCGCGCCGATACAGAACGCACCTGATGCATTTACAATGTGAGTATTCAAAATTCAAAAATTTCATAGTAAAATAAAGTCTCTGGCCGAAGGGGTGGTCTATCGGCGCTTATTGCCGTCGTCAGTGCCGTGACCATAGAGACAATTTTATTTTTATTAGTCTATAAGGTATTTATAATATGGGCCATGTAGCCTGAATTAAATAAATAAAAAAAAAAAATTATTCTTAGGCATAGGCTTCTCAATATATTTATGCAAATATCATGTATGCCAGGAAGAATATAGACAGTTTCAAAAGAGTTAGTGATTGCACTAATAAAAGTTTACGTAACAATAACAAACTGATTTTACCTAAATGTCGTTTGGCTAAAGTTAGTAATTCGTTTTATGGCAATTGCGTAAGGTTTTACAATAAAATACCAGAGTCTGTTATAAATCTGCCAGAAAAAAGATTTAAATGTCAAATAAAACACTTCCTTTACAAAAAAGCTTACTATAAAATTGAAGAATTCGTTAACGATAATAATGTTTTTGTAGAAAAATTTTAAATACATAGCACTGACAATATTATCTGATTACACTAATAATGAGTGCGTAGCGATTTCTATGTTGATTGTCGCATGCCTCTTACTTGTTATACTGTAATTATTTATATAAAAAAACATCTATTAAAAAGAGCAACACACAAGTTTCTTGCTCATTCTTCTTGTGATGAATCTGCATTCCGAATGAGCGGTAGAATCAAAATATGACTATTCAAAAGTGCTTGTAATGAGTTTATTTGAATAAAGATTATTTATATTTCTATTTCTATTCATGTAAGACATTTTGGCCGATTATGAACGTCATTTTTTTTTTTGTATAATTTTTTTACTACCGTCCAGTTCAGTATATAGATCCAATTGAGAACTATTTTAATAATAGTTTGGTACAATTAATTTCATACCGCAAAAACTGTTATAGACATTAAGACTGCCGAGTAAATAAAGAAGCTGATAAAACAAAGATATTCGAAAAATAAGTGGACTCGGTAGTTTACTACACCGTCATATTTCCGATGTTCGCGGGTTCGATTCCTCGCACGGTACAAACATTTGTATTCATGAGTATGATTGTTTGTATCGGTCTGGATGTATTCTATTTATATTTATGTATTTAAAAAAATACTTAAATCAGTTTATATTAGTTATATAGCATCCGTAACCGTAACATAAGCTCTGCTTAGCTTGGGACTAGATGGCGCTGTCTAAATTGTCCAGGGACCTTTTTTTTTTATATTAAAATTTGAACTCGTTTGACCGCAATCTCACCTGATGTTAAGTGATGATGTGGTCTAAGCTGTTACACGCAAGCTTGCTATTATGCTTGTAATTACTCCAAATGAAAGTATAGTAATTTTAATCAATACATACCTCTGGCACGGGGTCGAGGAGCGAGTTCTTGAGTCCCGGGATGATGTTGGGCAGGTAAGGCATTAGGTCCTTCTGATCGGTAAGCGAGTACATGTTGCCGATGATCTGCGCGGCCATCTTGCGCGTCTCCGTGCTGCGGTCGAGGAACGCGCGCTGCACCACCGGCATGATGAGCGCCAGCGACGGCGCGTCGATGAAGTGCACGAACTTGGTGTCCAGCAGCGTCTGCAGGCACGCCGACGTCTTGTTGGACGGGTCCTGCAGCGCGCACAGCAGCACCGGCACGATCGCTGCACAAACATGTCTCACTCTACACGCTATATCAAGTGGCTTAACAGTTATTTTACTAATCTAATGCTATTGACCGCAACTGGCCTTTACAGTGTGATATTGTGATGCAAATCAGCACGTTCGATAGTAGATTGTGCCAGTGTACGTTTTATCTAACGACACGTAGGTCACGCAGTTATGTAATTAGTGTAAGCTAGAGTAATTCAAGATGTAACAGTTAATATACAAGTTACACCCTACTGTGTGTGTTTACTCTCACCACCGCTCCTGTCATCACAACAGCTTTACCGAATGATGGGGGGCGAGTGCTGATGGAGTCCAACTCGACACGATAGAAAGAAGCAGGAGAAAGATGTTACTAAATTTTTGAAGATAGAACTAGATTGAGGTCATCAAATAGAAGTAGCAAGAAATCAATAATAATGAATGAGATGATGTCAAACCGCGAACAGCTTGTGTCTGAAATCGAGAGTACTCTCACCAGAGTCTCCGATTGGGGGCGATTGAACTTAGTTCAATTCAACTCTACCAAGACACAAGCCTGCGCGTTCACCGCTAAGAAAACCCCTTTTGCTGTGGCTCCGCAATTCCAGAACACGTCCATTACCATCTCTAAGAGCATTGGGATTCTCGGTGTCGACATCTCTAGCACAGTTGAGTTCCGTAGTCACCTCGAAGAAAAGGTCAAGGTGGCGTCCAAAAAGCTCGATGTGCAGAATAAAGCGAGACGGTACTTCACTGCGAACCAGAGACTTCTATTGTATAAGTCGCAAGTTCGGCCGCACATGGAGTACTGCTCTCATCTTTGGGCACCTGGATACCAGCTCGGTCTTTTTGACTCGGTTTAGAGACGTCCTATGAGAATTGTCGATGATCCCAATCTCTCTAACGGTATCGAACCACTTAGCTCGAGGCGAGATTTCGCATCGCTTTGTGTGTTCTACCGAATATACAACGGACTGTGTTCTGATGAATTGTTTGACATGATGCCTACGGCTACTTTTACCATCGCACCGCTCGCCATCGACAGGGAATTCATCCCCACACGCTAGAACCTAAGTGGTCTCGGACAGTGCGGTTTCAGAGGAGCTTCCTCCCGCGTACACTTAGATTGTGGAATGAACTACCTGCCGAGGTTTACTCGAGAGACTGCATGGGGTTTTTCAAGAAGGGTATATTAAGGTTTCTTAAGGGTCGGCAACGCGTATGTGACATCCCTGGTGTTTCAGGCGTCCATAGGCTACGGTAACCGTTTACCATCAGATGGGCCGTATGCTTGTTTGCCACCTAAGTGGTATAAAAAAAAAATGAAGATACCTTGTATCTCTGGGTTGCGTATGACGGATCCTATGACCTTGAGCGCCTCCGCGCCTGCCTCCTGCACGCGCATGTGCGAGTCGCTGAGCACCTCGATCAGTTTGGGCACGATCGACGGCAGACACGACGACAGCTGCTTCGGCGCGCAGTACGCCATCGCACCCAGCAGCTCGATAGACCCTGCACAAACAAACAAATACAAATTCAAAATATCTTTATTCATGTAGCTCTATTACAGACTCTTATGATATGTCAAATCAAAGGAGATATTTATAAATTATTTTTTTAAATAAATAAATAAATTTATATATTATCAGTAACTATATAATTATTTATAACCAGCTGTGCACGCAGTTACACCCGCGTCAAATTTATAGCCTAAGTTTCATCAAAATCCGTTCAGTAGTTTTTGCGCGAAAGGGTGACCGATATCCATCCATACTCAGAAACTTTCGCGTTTATAATATTAATAACATATTTATTTATTTATTTTCGGAAAACCAACGTACTAGCTTTACAAACATAATTATAAACATAATTAAATGTAACATGTGGCGGCGTGGTATAGGTTTTCACGGATATGATCGAGCGCAGTATAAAATAAATCATACAGTGAACTAACACGAGAGGCGTGTTTGTGTTATAAATACTGATAAAATCATATATTGTGTTTTTATACAATCCACTAAATTAAAACATATGCTGAAATTTGTATTCAAACATTTTTGAATAATGGAAATGCATATAAGTAACATTAAAATTAATACCTATAACTCAAAGAATTGCCTGCTCATCACGGCGCTTGCTAAAGATATTCTATCGGAAAACAAATCAATATCTAACACCCTACTTAATCTATTGCCAGTTATTACTTGCAACGCCGCCACATATAACTGTTTTGCCTATAGTTTAGATGATACAGACTGCGGTATAGAAATAGAAGGAGTAAATCTGGTACGTTTAGCTGGTACATTAAAATTAAGCTTTTGAAAGTATCTCAGGACAGAACTATGACACCGGAGGCTATATTGATCAAGTAAATATTTATCAGCAATTGAACGGAGTTTCTCAAGGGTCATCTGATTGTGGTAATGATTTTTACACATACTAATATAATGTTTGGGGCCTTTCAAATTGCTGTTTATTCGGTGGGGCAAGGGACGGGGACAAATTTTTTTGCTTATTTTCGATGACGTGCAATGATGATGATTACGTATCGATATTGGGGTTACAAATCTGAGGTGCATACTGCTAAAAAACAATATATTAATTGAAAATATTTACGTAAGCAAGTATTTTTAAAGTTTTACTTTGTACGAAGGGGGATGGGGGGTAAATAATTGTTTTGCGTAACAAATAAAATTTGCGCATTGCATTATTAACAATATTATTAATATGTGTGATGAAATATTAATTTAGAATTGTATGTTTTTTTAATGAACATTACAAAAAAAAAAGTTTTTAAATTAAAATAAAATATTAGGGTTGACCCTTATCATAAGATATTATTATTATAATAATAATATATCTTTCAGCTTTTCCAAAAAATGTACGTTAAATTCGTACAGCCATTTCTAGAGACTAGCGGTACAAACAGAAAGACAGACAAAATTTGTGGAATGTTAGTAAGTATATCACTGTATATGTACATAAATATATTGTGGCGCGCGTGGCCGCGCGCGCAGCTTCGATATGTCATTTTCTTGTCTCATATAAAATAAATGATAAACGTTTGCTTTGTTATTTTATTTAAATATATATAAATATAACGAATGCTGCTTGTGGGGACTGGTCTGCTCTTATCACTACGACTGATTTAATCTTATTTTATATTTATATATAACCCTAACAAATTAATGATATATATGGTAGTTTTATTCAATGTTTCGACTTGTAAAATGTGAACTTACAAGGATTATTTAAAAGACCGCACGTCTAAAAGTATCTCAGTGAAATGAAATAAAATAAATTTAATTGCAAAAAGGTGTTATTATACTATGCTATTTACTTACCGGCCTTGGTGCGCCAGTTATCATCCTGCAACGCCTGCAGCAGCGAGGGTAGCACGAGCTTGACGCCGTGCGCGCTCAGCTTGCTCATGATAAGTTTAGCGGTGTCGTCAGCGGCGGCGCGCACGTACTGCGAGCTGTCGCCGAAGCAGAGGAGGAGATGCGGCAGCACGTGGACTATGTACGGCTCGAACAGCCGACCCAGCTTGTAGCACAGCATCTCAAAGCCGAACAGGGCACCTGCGTATATAGGATCTCCGTATATTTAGTCCACATGAACGGAGATGTGTCTTTATGGGCCATCTGATTGCGGGTAATGATCGTATGCATACTAGCTGCCCCGGCAAACGTTGTTTTGGGGCCTTTCAAGTATTACGAAAGCACTATACCATCACGGGGGGGGGGGGGGGGCTTTGTGTAAAAAATAAAAATAATGACCTTCATCATCCGTATTATTTAAGCGGTTAGATGATGATTACGTCATCGATAGTTATTTACTTTTTTACACGAATGGCAGGGGTGCCATGGTCTTTGCTAAAAAACAATATATTAATTGAAAATGTAATATATATAGCATGAGGGGAGGGGGTACAAATATTTTGTTAATGATGTAATTTAATATATTTGCGGCCTTAATTAGCCACATAAATTTAATTACTAAGATCGTTATTAAAAATTAGGGGTTGATGAAAGAAGGGTCTACATTTAGGGTTGTATGTATTTTTTAATGAACATTACAAAAAAAAAAGTTTTATAAAATTAAAATAAAATATTAGGGGTTGACAACCCTTATCACTTATGGTATGAAAACTAGATATAGTCGATTCTGATAGACCTACTGAATATGCAATATAAAAATCGATGTCAAGCCGTTTCGGAGGAGTATGGTACATATATATATATATACATGTGCGTGTATATATATGTATATATATATACCAGCTGTCAACACAAACATTACTTCGTCAGCTTGAAATCTACAACTTTATTTTTCTAAAATAGAAGTAGTTAAAAAAGTTACTCCTTATTACATCAGCTAACACCTGCCTAAAAAATGTCCCGTCCAAAATAGGTCCAGCCATTACAGAGATTAGTTTTTTGAACGAACAGACAGACAAAATTTGTAAAAAAATGTTATTTTGGTGTAAGTACCAAAAGTATTTATAAGTATTTATATTCATATGCATGTAGTGAAAAACGGTTAATTCAATATTACAAACAGACACTACAATTTTATTTATATGTATAGATGTATAGATTACCTTCACGGTACTTGTAGTTCTTCTTCTCTTGTATAGCTTCTGTGAGTTTGCCCATCACGTCGAGCTGCTTCAGGGAGAGTATGCCGAGGCCTTTGATGATACCGGCGATGCCATACGCCGCGCCCTATTTTTTTTTTATTATAGTGTTTTTATTGGGCAACGAAACATATCCATATTTTACTGGAGAGAATTCGAACATTGCTAACATCAAATATCATCATAATGTTTTGACTGTTATGGTAAAATTGACGGCCTCGGTGGTCCAGCGGTTTAGCACACCGCCTTACGTCCGATGGTCGCGGGTTCGATTTCTCACACGGCACAAACATTCATGAGTATGATTGTTTGTATCGGTCTGGGTGTTTTCTATATATATGTATGCATTTACGAACAAAATATCTACGTATATATATCAGTTATCTAGTACCCATAACACAGGCTTTAGCTAGCGTAACTTGGGTCTAGATGGCGCTGTGTGAATTATTTTGATATTATTATGTGACACCCCTGGTGTTTCAGGCGTCCATAGGCTACGGCAACCATTTACCATCAGATGGGCCGTATGCATGTGTGAAAAAAATAAAAATAAGTTTTACCTTCCGATCTCCGTATTTTTCAGCGGTGAGTAGTTGCTTCATGAGTTTGTTCATAATTGCGGGCACCTCCTCTTCGAGTGCCGGCGAGCTGACGAGGTGCGGCAGGCAATTGCTGACGGCTTCTTGTACCTGGTAAAGTTTGTTATTAACAAATTACATTCCAAGTATCCATTTCAAATATAATATATATATATGTGCGTGTATATATATAGACGACAGATCAACACAAACATTAACTTCTACAGTTAGAACTTATAATACTTTGGTGTAAGTCAAAGTCAATTAACTAAACGATACTTGGGGTCGGATTTCTTGTATTAATATTATGATTGCTGTTTAGTTCGAACTAAACGATTATTAAAACATTAAACGTGAATATATAAGCTTCATTTTGCATTTCGCCACTACAAATTTCGCTAAACACGTTTATAAATTCTGAACGTCTGATTTCCTACGGTTAACTCTTTAAACGTATTTAAAGCAGCTTTTTTTATAACACAGTGATTACCGCCGCCCATGAGCACCGGCAACACCAGGGCTGAAATTGCAAGTACGTTGTCGGCCTTTTAAAAGGAATAAGCTCTTTTCAGAGAAGGTTTCAATATAATATCGGAAACACCATTGCTGGAAGGAGATTCCACAATGTTTTTGTGCGTGGCAAAAAGATTCTAGTAAACCGCACTGTGGAAGACCGCCATTCATCCAGATGATCAGAATGGTATTAAAAATCAGTTTCTGCGGGTAATACGGTGGTGAATCTATCCAGCAGCTGGTATTATGTGATATATGCGGAATAGAAAATGCATAGAGATGCAATATCTCGCCGCAAAGCCAATGGGTCGAGTCTGTCACATAGACGTTGATTACCAATGATTCTGGCTGCTCGGTTCTGAATGCGGTCAAATGGAAGTAGCTGTCAGTTGTCAGTCTTCAATCAAATTTTTGATAATATTATATCGGGAATAAAAAGAAAATTACCAGTAGTGTAAATACTACTCGATAAAAAAATGCTTTACTAATTTAATATAATAGGTAAAGGTTGTTGTTTTATATTTTGTAGTCGAAGGTACTTATTAAATTAAAAATTAAAAAACTTATCCTAATTATCACATGATTGAATTACAAATATTTCTTAGAATTATTTTATTTAAATTACCCATTGCATCAAATATTATTTTATGAGCGTGTAACACTGAACGAATGAAAATCTAAACTTCATTTTGATAAACACGATCTATATAACGTTGGTGAATTCCACGTAAAGTAAAACGAGATCAACGTCGTTCTTTTTTTCGAGTTCACGCTGAATTTTCCTGTGTTAATTAATGGAATTTATGAAATACGATTGAATGAAATCCGACCTTAGTTAAAAATTATTTAGGTAACTAAGTTTATGTTTGTAATTAACTAAAAAATTATAAACATTAGAAATACCACTCTAAATCGTTAGTTTTAAAGTCTTATATCAATAAGTTATCGTTTTTTCATAATTCTGTATTGTAGGTGTAAAATATTTATTAATTTTAAGGTCGGTAGTTCGGTGCAGCTGTAAGTTAGAGTAGTCCGAATAATGATTTAAAACCATAATATAGAAGAATATTGGTGACTCCTATGTGGATTTACCTGTTGGCTGGGCGTAGATAAAAATATGTTCGGCTACTATGTCGCAGTCATATTCGGTTATCACCGAGCATCTTCAATTTTATTTTTAAAAGGCGACAGGTTATTTGCCGATGTAATTGCGACCCTACCAGCAGGACCACTTTTTGTCCATCTGATCGGACCAAGCGTCGTACCCGCCAGACTTCGGAGCCTTGTCCAGAAAGTTCTCGAACACCGGCAGCTGGCTGCTTAACGTTTCCTGAGTGGCACAGAGATAACAACATTTCTATCACTTGAATGACTCTTTTCTTGAAGGTCTTCTTCAATATCGTATTGGAAATATTAAGAAGTTTCTAGAAAAACGCTCCAACGTGCGTTTTCTAGAAACTTCGCCGCCATTCATCCAGATGGTCAGTATGATATTTTGGTTTTTAGGGAGTATTATGATGTTGAAATTCATCAGCTGGTTTTGATGAACAATCCTTCAGCTTAAGCGATCGGTTAAGTTCAATAACATGTATTACGGCCTCGCTGGTATTACGATTTAGCACACCGCATTATTTCCGACGGTCGCGGCTTCTATTCCTCGTACGGAACAAACATTTGTATTCATGAGTATGATTGTCTCTATTATTTTGTTTCTTATGTACATTATGTATTAAAAATGTATTTATGTATCAATATCAATTTAGTACTCATAACACAAACTCTTCTTAGCTTGGGACTAGATGGCACTGTGTGAATTGCCCATAAATATTTATCTATATACTGACAAATTGCATATAAGTGAAGACAAATTTAAAATATCTCGACTGAAGTATATCTATGTTTTACATACACTTATGATAAACCAATTTTCCGTTAATTTGAAATGTAGTTTAAGCCGAGAAGAGCTGCTGGAACTGATTATACTTTCTACTCTGACGACTCTAATACATGTAAATAAAATTGTAGTGTCTGTTTGTAATATTAAAATAACAGTTTTTTACTACATGCATATGAATTTTTGTCTGTCTGTCTATTTGTTTCGGATAATCTCTGAAATGGCTGGACCGATTTTGACGGGACTTTTTTTGGCAGTTAGCTGATGTAATAAGGAGTAACTTAGGCTACTTTTTTTTAGAAAAATAAAATAAAATTCCACGCGGACGAAGTCGCGGGAACAGCTAGTCTTATACTATAAAAATAACACACTGTACATACGTATCTTAAATTAATGTATATAAAGAATTTTGAATAGATGATAATGTAATGTTACACCCGCTGGCGGAGCAGTGAAGGATGATAAGATGAAACATGAGGACAGGTCAGACGGTTTCCAGGATAAACTGCATTTTTTCTGATCTACTCTAATGCTGTTCAAATTCAAATTCAAATTCAAAATATCTTTATTCATGTAGGTCTATTACAGACTCTTATGATATGTCAAATCTACCGTCAGTTCGGAATGATTTCGAGATGAGAAAAACTGACAAGAAACTCAGCTCGTATTTTTTTTAATGTTGTACATATTTACAATAATACTATTTCATTTAAATTCAAATTTGGGAGAATAGAGTGATCACCAGCATATGCTATATAAAAAAAATCAAAAAAATCTAATCAGTGTTCGCAACCTGAACAGACCAGTCCCCACAAACAGCACCTGTTCACGAGTATGACGGATGAGCCAGCCATCATTGCACTCAACCATATTTGAGGGAGCACATCGACCCGGCCCACCACGCCGCCACAAGTTTGAACTTTATAGCCAGCATGACTGTTTCAGGTTACTCCACTACGTCAATTATATTACTTACAGCATAGGCTGTACCGATCACAGTTTTCACCCATTACAATATTTAATTTACATTATTTAATTTACAATATGTCATTACAAAATTTATAATAAGTTTCTTTAATGTTATTACATTATCCATGTCAATGGGAAAAATTATATGCCTCATAACAAAAGTTAAAATTGTAATTAAGTCCACACATTGTAGTCATTTAAGTAGTCGTTTATTTTATAATAAGCTTTAGAGCAAAGTGTTTTTTTTACATGTATCTTAAATTTGGCTTCACTTAAATTTCGCAGATTCACCGGACGATAGGTGGCGAGTGCGGATGGCACTCCACACCCGCGGAAGGACTTATAGAGCGGCTGAAGGCCAACTCCCGCCTGATGGATACGACTTTAGTCCGAGGGCACCGCTAGGGGTTCGAACCTCGGCTCAGGCCGTCGTAATATCGATCCCCGTTTGAATTGGATCGGAGAGGAGGGCGAACCGCGTGGAGATCAACCTGTGTACCTCTCACATATAGATGTGTGTATTCATTTAACTACGAACCTCACAACATCACATACTACCTATCTGCCATTGAATGATTACTTTTATCATTATTTACTTGTTTATTATGACGAATATATTTATGTATTATATAGTGTGTATGTTTATTCCTATATATTTGTATTACTATTTATGCTTATGTATATTCGTATTTATGTGTTTTACTTTTGTTTTAGATTATACAATTAGTTATTTGAATTTTATTTAGTATCTAGGTTTGTCATTTTTTTTGTTTGCACCAGTTATTACCCACTCAGTACCATATATCCCACTGTTTTAGGTTGACTGGAAGAGATCTCTTCTAGGGATAAGTCCACCTTTGCTCACATTGTCTCTAAATTATAATATCTTTTTATTATCTGTGCAATAAAGAATATATAACGTTTTTAACACAATGTACCCGTAAATAGGCTAAGTAAAATGACTATTAACATTTGATTTGAAATGAATAATTATATGTATGCGATGAGGCCAATATGCTAATCCTTGTATGATCACATACAAAGTTTGTATGGAATGCGGTAGTGTATTGCAAATAATTATGTGTACATTCCTAGTGATGACGTTGAACGTGCACTCGTTGTACTGACGTTGATAAAGTGATAATTACAATGATATATATCATAGTATGTAACAATTATCGCTAATAACCAAACTGGCAGACCTGTCTAATATTAAATATTTAAAGAATGTGGGGAATTTAGTGTGTCATGTAATTCTATAATTTTGTCTTCGAATATAACATACTAGCTTTTACCTTCGACTTGGTTTGCATGATAATAATCTATGATTAATTAAGTAAATAATATTAATCACTATTTCCCTATTATTCAAAACACAATGATACCTCATTTGCATATTGAATTCGGAAGTATTTCGTATATTATGAGAGAACCGATAAATATATATATATATATATATAATACTAGCTGTCCCGGCAAACGTTGTTTTGCCTTAAAATAAAAAAAAAATTAGGTGTGGACTACCCCTAACATTTAGGAGGATGAAAAATAGATGTTGGCCGATTCTCAGACCTACTCAATACGCTCACAAAATTTCATGAGAATCGGTCAAGCCGTTTCGGAGGAGTATGGGAACGAAAACTGTGACACGAGAATTTTATATATAAGACTAGCGACCCGCCCCGGTTACGCACGGGTGCAATGCTTCATAGGCACCCGCCACCGGCCGGGTGCACCACCGCATTGTTTCTAAAGATTTAAGCATACATAGGGACGGACAGACAGCGACAGCGACTTTATTTTATACTAAGTACTTATATATATATAATATACCGGTCAAAAACATAACCCTCTTTTTTCGCCGTGGTCGGGTAAAAAGAACAATTAAAGATTTCATTTCTATAACCTTTAAATATAATTTATGATAAAATTGGTTTGTATTTGTCATTCAAGTGGAAGTTTCCACAGTATTTTCGACAATGAAAACAGTTTTTATCGTATGAATTGTTTGCCTCGATAGGCGATCTACATGAGCTAATCATAAATCAATTTTGAGTCAATGTAGAACAAAAAACCTGTATGTCCACAAGTAAACAATAACAGATTATCGATGCAATAAAAGTAATATTATTATTTAATAAGATATTTTTTATTAAAAACAACCTTAACAATATTTTTTAGTATTTACAAGATATATAATATAAAAAACAATATATAAAGTATACTTATGCTACATACAGCTTAAAATTAAAGTCATAACTTATTTTTATTAAAAACAGCATAAACAATAAATTTATGTAGATTTACAATGTATATTTGACCGCCTCGGTGGTCTAGTGATTTAGCACACCGTCTTACTTCCAATAATCGCGGGTTCGACTCGTCGCACGGCACAAATATTTGTATTCATGAGTATGATTGTTTCTGTCTATCTGGGTGTTTTCTATGTATAATATGTATGTATTTACGAAAAAAAAAATATTTGTATCAGTTATCTAGTACCTATAACACAAGCTTTAGCTAGCTTAACTTGGGTGTAGATGGCGCTGTGTGAATTGTCCTGAGTTTATTATTTTATTACAATCAGGTATATAATAAAAAAACATATATTAACAATACTAACTTTATATACAGATTAAAGTTATTAACTAATAATAATATTTCACATATTTTCAGTCTATTTCTTATCTTTGCATTGCTGGATTTCTAACTAAGCACTGTCAAACTAAACTACTAAACTTACTTTACACAAAAAAACCTGCATGCTTTCCACCTGCATTTCTTTTTATTGGAATGGCAAATATGCTGGACGATCTGAATCGAGACTAAGCACTGTCAAACTAAACTACTAAACTTACTTTACACAAAAAAACCTGCATGCTTTCCACCTGCATTTCTTTTTATTGGAATGGCAAATAAGCTGATATATCACATTATATATTATTAAGTAGTGATTAATAGAGACTAAAATTATCCAGTTTTGTACATGAACATTTAGTATTTAGTAATGAAATTATATTTATTCAGTAGAAGAAAAAACTAAAACACACATAAAACAAACTAAAAAAAAACAAACAGTGCGACAATTACAAAAAAAAAGTATACAAATTACGTGTGTGCGCGTGTGCGTGCATATGTATGTTTGTCGAAGCATCTACTGAATAGGTCCGTGCTCAGCATAATGCTGCAGCGGCTGGAGCGCTGCAACGCTGTTTTTCAGCACAAGACCTGGGGTGCTGTATTGCCGTGTTGTACACGATTTATATATATACTAAATATATAATAAATTGATATATTAATAATATATGTTAGGGTTCACATCGATATTGTCGAAAAATCTGATATTTTATATTAAAAGAAGGTAGTTTCATTATTACTCGGTATAGTTAAACTAGTTGCATATAACCCCCACTCATATCTTCCCTGTATAAAAGGGAGGGTTTCTGTGCACAGGATGTGCTGGTTGT